TATGTATATTAATGCTATGACAAATGACATACGTCATTTGCAGTTTATCAATATTGAAAAATTGAAAAAAAAAAAAATTGAAAAGCTAAATTATAAAAGCATAAAAATTACTGAAGCAATTTTTTTCATCTATTCCTAATAATATTATCGTTGAAAAAAAAAAAAAATATTTTTTTTTTTTTTTTTTTCAAAATTTATTTTAATATGTTAGCATTTTATTAATTCTATTATAAGCTAAAAAAAATTTTTGAATTTGTTATTTCTTTTATCCAATAACGAATTTTTGTTTCTTTTTTTTTCTACCTTTTTGTCCTTTTTTTTTTTTTTTTTTAATATGAAATTTATATGTTGCAATTAGAATATATTTTAATAATTTTCTTTTATTATGAATGTATTTTAATAATTTTCTTTTTTTTTTAAAATATTTTAATAATTTTTTCATTTTAGTTCTTTTCATATCAAATAAATTTCTTCGTTTTGCAGATAATAGTTAATTTGTTAACTTTTAACTTAAAATTTTTATCATACACAATTGAAAATTCTTTAAAAGTACATTAATCTGTTGAAATTGATAAAAAATATTTTGAGAATAAAAAATAATCCATTTTATCAATAATACTTTTACATAGTAAATTAAAATAACACTTTATGAATTCTCCGATTTGCAGCAATATTATCATCCGTGACAGAGAAGAAATACATATGATAGTTTATATGATATGATAATGCAAGCTGATAATATGATATGATAAAGAAAACAGATAATATGATATGATAATTCGATTCAGATATGTTATTGAATATGTAAGAATATGTTAACGTAACTAAATGATATAAAAGAATGTTTACATTACATTTTTCCTTTTTTTTTTTTTTTGAATGCTACATTTAAGCTAATAATAGTTTATTTTATTTTTCAGCTTACAAATCAGTTATTAGATTGGTTAAATAAAATAGTTTTATTCAACAATTTTCATTTTCATACAAATATAAATGTTGCAAAAATATTAGAAAACAATAATTTATGGAAGTAATTGAACTAATTCAGTGAAAGATAGACTTTCTTAATGAATGATAAGCTTTTCCAGTGAATGATAAGCTTTCTAGTAAATGATAAGCTTTTTCAGTAAATAATAAACTTTTTGAGTGAATCATGAGCTTTTCCAGTAAATCATAAGCTTTTCCAGTGAAAGATAGACTTTTTTAATGAATGATAAGCTTTTCCAGTGAATGATAAGCTTTCTAGTAAATGATAAGCTTTTTCAGTAAATAATAAACTTTTCGAGTGAATCATAAGCTTTTCCAGTGAATGATAGGCTTTTCCAGTAATTGATAAGCTTTTCTAGTAAATGATAAGCTTTTTCAGTAAATGATAAACTTTTTGAGTGAATTATAAGCTTTTCCAGTGAATGATAAGCTTTTCCAGTAATTGATAAGCTTTTTCCAGTAAATGATAAGCTTTTCCAGTAAAAGATAGATTTTTTTAGTGAATGATAAGCTTTTCAGTAAATAATAAGCTTTTCCAGTAAAAGATAGACTTTCCTAATGAATGATAAGCTTTTCCAGTAAATAATAAGCTTTTTGAGTGAATCATAAGCTTTTTCCAGTGAATGATAAGCTTTTCCGGCAAGTGATAAATGATAAGTGGAAAGATGTAAAAATCACAAAATAATAGAGGAAATATATCAAATTTAGGACATTTCTGGAAGACTTACTTACTTACCTATTTGCATATTTACTTCCTATGTGATTTATCAGTTTTTCATTTGAAAATGAAGCACAAATGATGTTATTTCGTTTATTTTAATACAAATTTATTGTGTGTATATAAATTTTAAAAATTTCAAATGAAATAATTATTCGCAGTGAAAGTATAAATTGATCAGAATGAATTCTACTCGTTTTCTTCTTTTCTCTCTCTCCCTCTCTCTCTGTCTCTCTCTCTGTCTCTTTCTATTATTTTTTGCTATATTTGAATAATTGGTTATCGTTTGTTCGGAGATTGTTGTTCTTTTTTTTTTTTTTTTTTTTTTGATAAATATTCATAAATTTGAAGCTCCCTAAAATTGCATGATAATAGAAAGAGAGGGAGGTGGAGAGGGAGAAACGAGGGAGAAGAAGAGAGAGAGAGAGAGAGAGGGAGAAAAGAGAGAGAAGGTGAAGGATAAAATTAAGTTGAAAATTCTGAAGACTGAAAGTCATTCTATTTTTGCTCATATTTCTTTTTTGTTTACTTCAAATGGACAATTTTGATATTTTCTTTCTTCTCACTCTCTCCCTTTTTTTTTTTTTTTTTTTCTTTCAGATTTTACAGAGAAAAATAATTTCAAATGATTATTTCACACTGTTCATTTGCTTATATTTTTATTAATTATAAAATTGAATATTTAAAATTTTAATTTTTTTCTAAATGAAAGTTATCAATGATAACACTGATAATATGTACGATTGCTTAATTCAAATCAATTAAGCTATCAGTATGTGATTGCAAACATTTGTGATAATAAAAACATAAATCTCATAATTTTTTCATTTTTTTTTTTTTTTTTTTTGTCGGCAATACTTTTCTTTTTGAAGGTAAAAATGCTTAGCTATTAATTAACTAATTAAACTAATTCGCTTAATTCATTAATTTGTTTAAATCAACTGATTTACTTAATTTTATGATATTTTGAACTATTGCAAAACTTTGCTTTCGTTATTCTTCCAGTAATATATTTCAGTCACTTAAATTGAATTATTTACATACAGAAATTAAGTTAATACTAAATTTTAATATGAATTTGTTTACTGATAAAATTATGAAATTAATAAAATATACTTTTTATTGCTTTGATTTGCAAAATTTACAAATTCTTTTTTTTTTTTTTTTGAAAACTATTGAAATCTCTTATCATTATTTTCTTTTTTTTTTTTTATATTATTTTACTAGCCTTTGTCATCCTTTCTTTTTATTAATGTGAAACTTAGAGTTACCGTAATTAATTCATTGAATCTTTGCAGGTCAATGATATCATTTTATTGTCTAATCAAATTAATTTTAATTAAATCAGTAATATTTCTCGAAAAAATTTCAATAAAATGAGTGTTTTTAGTTGTTGCATTTTACGTAATTTCATTTAATTATAAATTTCAATAAGTCTTTTTTTTTTTGGCATTCAACGTATAACTGATAATTTTTGCATTATAGTTTTTATTATCACTGATAAAATTTTTCATTATTTATGATGAAACTTCTAGATTATTTTGATTTACTGTTTAAAATTAAATATTTCATTATTTATATGAAATTAAATTATTTGCTAATCTTTTTATTGTAGTATTTCTTTTTCTTTTTTCCTATTTTTATCACAATTTTTCTTATTAATTTGTCTAATCATTCCGTTTTACACTTATTTTTTAATTTTTTTAGTACCGTTTAATTAGGTTATTTTAATATTATTCAATTTAAATTTATTGATTATTTAACATCATTTCATTTTCATTTTTACTTCTTTTTTACTTCCATTTTATGGAGATAATCACGCATACTAAGTCTAATTAATTTGAACTTTTTTTTTTTCGTTCCTTTTTTTAATAAATTTAGAAATGCTATATCACTAAATAATGTATAACATCGATTTGATTTTAATTTTCAAAATGGTTATGATAGTAAAATAAAGATTTCTATCAATTTAATAATTGCATATGTGAAGTAAAAGGCAATATATCGCTTAATTTATTCTTTATTTATTTACTAATTTATTTATTCGATTATTTATTTATTTGTTTGTTTATTTATCTGTTTATTTATTTATTTGTTCGTTTATTTATCTGTTTACTTATTTATTTGTTTATTTCTTGTTTCATCGAGATTTAAACATAGTACAGAATTAATCAATGTATTTAATATTAGATAGTAAAACTATTAAATGCTATAAATAATTTAAAAAAAAAAACAAATCATAGGATGCTTTATTCAACTTCAATTATCGTTGCATTCATCGGTGTGCGTCCTTTCGTTTTTTTTTTTTTTTCAGAAATTGTCCCCATACATATGGGTGACAAATTTTCCTCTATCCTTCCAAATTTCTCTCATTTCAATTATGACATCAATTTTTAGTTTCAAAATTTGAATACCTTTATATAAAGAGAGAGAGGGAGAGGGAGAGAGAGAAAGAGAGAGAGATTGAATGTATTTGTATCATATAAAGATTTGTTTTTTTTTTTTTTTTTCTCACTTATCATTATCATTTGTAATCGTTCAAAATTTTTCAATTAATAAGTAAATTCTTTAGTTTTCGTTTTTTTTTTTTTTTTTTTTTTTCGTAATGTTCTTTTTTTTTTTTTTTTTTTTTTTTTTGTTTTCTATTTTTGAGTTAAAAAAGTTAAAAGTAATATTGTTTTGAAAAAATTCCTTATAAGATAATTAATTGCTAATAATAGAAAAAAAAAAAACAAAAAACATTGCATCTATTAAAGCAATAATATCACTCGAAATAAATCTTTGAATAAATTATTTTGAATTATTGATTTCTTTCCTTCTATTTTTCTTCTATATTTTTTTTGCTTCTTCCTTTTAAATGCAAATATTAGTTGTAGAGGAGGAATGTGAGATGAAAGAATAAACATTCGTTAAAAGTATTCTTATGTCAAAAAATTGAGCAAAAAATTCATTCAAACAATTATTGTTTTAGATGAAATGAAAAAAAGAAAAAAGAAAAGAAAAGAAAAGAAAAGAAAATGAAATGAAATTTCATTTGTAAATGCAATAAACGATAAAATTTTGAAGTGGAAGTGAAAGTATTTTCTTTTTCTCATTCATATAAATTTCAATAAAAAAAAAAAAAAATAATTTTTTTTTTTTTTTTCTCTCTAAAAGTTATTATTTTTCAGTTCAAATTATAGCAAATGTATTTGTGATGAAAATTTTATTCAAACGCTAATACTGATATTAGCAACAATAAATTCTAGCGTACGTGTTATGCGCTTAAATAATAAAATAGTACGAGCAATTGAAAATGGCCGATCTGGAAGCTGTCCTTGCCGATGTAAGCTATTTGATGGCTATGGAAAAGTCCAGAAGTCAACCAGCTGCTCGTGCATCCAAAAAGATTGTTCTACCAGATCCAAGGTATTTACTTAAATTTATTTTTTATTTTTTTTTTTTAAATGAATTTTAGCACTAAATAAATTTAGCATTTATGAATATTATTGTCATAACAATTCATTTATTTTGACAAAGAAAATTTTGCAAATTTTAAAGATTTTAAGCTTTTAAATTTTCTAAAGTTTTGTTAACTTTATTTATTTATTTTTTTTTTTTCGTTAATTTTTATGCTTACAGCGTTCGAAGTATTATGCAAAAATATTTGGAGAAAACGGGTGAAATTAAATTTGAACGAATATTCAGTCAACGTTTAGGCTTTTTATTGCTAAAAGATTTTGCGGATAATATTTGTGAAACAGCTTGCCCACAAATCAAATTTTATGAAGCTGTAAGCTTAATTACACTTTTTTTTTTCTTTTCTTCTATAAGTTTCACATTTCAATTTGAATATATATGTTCGTTTAATTATGAAAAGATTTTTTTTCACTTCTACTTTCAAATTAATGGATTCAAATAATATTTTAATTATTGTAATAATTAATCATACTCTATTTTCAAAATGATAATTTGAAATAGTTTGTTAAATTTATTCAATTAATTTTAATCACTAAAAAAGTTAACTTCTTTAGATGTTTACTCTTTGAAAGTGTAGCATTATTTATTGTTGAAAATGTAAACAATAAAATTTATATTATAATTTTTTCCTTTTTTGAATTATAAATTATAGAATTATTTAACTTTGGCTAAAATAATTAATTATTAAATAATAATTAATTATTAAAGAAAAAAAAAATTTGTAAATTAATTTTGTTTTGTTTAGATAAAAGAATATGAGAAAATGGGAACACCGGAAGAGCGTTTAATAAAAGCTCGCGAAATTTACGATCATAATATTATGGTTGAAATGCTTGCCCATTCACATGTAAGAATATTTTAAATGAAATTTAAACAAATCAACTTTTTATGAAATGTTTCATTTTTTTTAATCAAAAAAGAAAACTCATTACTTACTCGAAAATAATTTCTTTAATTTCAAATTAAATTTGCTTAAAACAATTAAACGTAATTAATTTTTTTGGAAATATTTTATTAATTTTATTTTCATTTATTACAGAATTATTCAAAAAGCTCTTTGCAACATGTACAGAGAAATTTAATGAAAAATAACGTACAACCGGATCTCTTTCAGGTAATTATTGATAAATAGGTAAGAGAAAATGTAAAGAAATTTCATTAATTTTAATTAATTTGTTAAGTGATAAGGATTTACCTGAAATATATTATGCATTTATTATACAATATTAAATGCACTGATAAGGTTAAATAGTAATATTACTGATAAGTTTTAACAAATTTATCTTTTTACTTTGTTCATTCATCGAATAAATTCAAATAAACTTGTTAACTTTTTCGTGGGTTTTATTAAAATAAAATGCATTTTATAGTATAAAATATAATAATTTCAGCCGTATGTGTTAGAAATATGCGAGCAATTAAAAGGTGACATTTTCCAAAAATTTTTAGAAAGGTAAGCAATAATTTCTAATAAATTAAAATTTTTTCAACTTTGACATTTAGTGCATTACGTTCGACAAATTTATTTCTTTTTTTTTTCTCCACAAAAACTTATACAATTGATAAAATAATATCACTGATAATGATTTGGATGTATTTTTTATTGCAATATTACCTATAGAATACTCTGATAAGAAAAAAAAAGCCAATGTAAAGTTTTATCGATAATTTTTAATTTTATTGAATAAATAGAGAAACAATTTTTTAATTTAAAAAATTTGTTAAATTAAGGAAACGATAGGCTAATTGTAGATTAGATTATATCGTATTATATTGTATAATTTGGTGATAAAATTACCCAAAAAATTGGAATGCTTTTTTTTTTTTTTTTTTTGGTAGATTAATTTAAATTTAATAATTTATAAATTTATTGCAATTATATTATACTTATACGAGAATAATTATTAACTAAAAATGAAATGAAATAACATTTGAAATTTTTTTCATTTTTTTTTTTTTTTTCAATTTGTCTAAGTAATAAACTACGAATAGATTAGCCATAATCATCATTCATCCATGTTTCTTTTCTTTTATATCCTAGGCCTAAAGTAAACCAAAAAAAAAAATAGCCTAGGAAGCCAAAGTACTTTGTTTGATTGCTAGCTTAAATGCTAAGATTAAATAAGACAAATGATGATGTATTATCTGTTACAATAATATTTGCTAATTATTCATAACAAAACGAAATTTAAATTTTTAACATTAAAATTTCAATTTTATAATTCATCATTTTTAATTTTATTAATTTTCTGATTTTTTTTGTTTTTTGTTTTTTTTTTTTTTTTCATTAATATTTTCAGTGATAAATTTACGCGATTTTGCCAATGGAAAAATTTAGAGCTAAATATGCAATTAACAGTAAACGATTTTTCGGTACATCGAATAATTGGACGTGGCGGCTTTGGTGAGGTATATGGATGTCGTAAAGCGGACACAGGCAAAATGTAATTTTGTTTTTTATTATTATTATTATTATTATAAATGCATCTATGGAGTAATTATTTATTTGAAAATTTTATTTTACATAAATGCATTAAATTCTATTTCATAGCTTAATTTAATTTCATTTTCATTCAAAAAGAAAAAAAAAAAATTGTTAGCTTATTTTTTCTATATATTCCATTATTTTTATTAATTTTATTTTTCTTATTTATAAAATTGAAATTATTTTCAATGCAATAAATCTGTTTATTACAAAAATTGAATGAAATAAAAGAAAAAAAAAAAAAAAGAAACGGACAATTTAAAACGTTAAATTTAATTAATTTCAAATTAATGGCTAAAACATTAATGTTTTGCTAAACAGCTGCGCTTTTTATTTTTATTTTCATTTTTATTTTTATTTTTTTTTTTTTAGAAAAATGGTTAGTTGAATTAATTAATCGTTTTAAATAAAAAACAAAAAACTTAATGTTATTTGTTTCTTTTTTTTTTTTTTAAATTTATTTATAATATTTGATACTGTGATATTTGTTATTTAAGTAAGTAAATTATATATGTGATAATTTAATAAATTCATTGTATTTTGCACTGTTATTAGTAACTTTTTTAATAATTTTAACTTTTCATTTTTTTTATTTTTTTATTTTTCATTTTTTTTATTTTTACAGGTATGCAATGAAATGTTTGGATAAGAAAAGAATTAAAATGAAACAAGGTGAAACGCTTGCACTTAATGAACGCATTATGCTTAGTCTTGTTAGCACTGGAGTAAGCTTTTTATACTTTTTTTTTTTTTTTTGTTTTTTGTTTTTTGTTTTTTTTTTTTAAATCTAGAAAAAAGAAAACTAAGATAATGATAGAATAGCAAAGAAATTTTGCATATCTTTAAGAATTTTATTAATCATATTTTAAAAATACTAAAAATAGCTTTGTTAAATGATTAATTTATTTAAAATGAAAATAAAAATTGTTTTGAAAAAGCAAGAAATGATGAATAATTTGTAGTACGAAATTAAATTTTTCTTTTTTTTTCCTTGAAAAGATAACGTAAAAATGAAGAAAGAGAAGAATGAATATTCAAATATGTATGAAATAAACTTAAATCTATTAAAAATAAAACATTTTAAAAATTATGTCATATGAGTTTTCTTCAAAAAACTTCAACATTTCCTGAGAGAAAATGACGAGAATAATGAAATTGATTGAAATTAAAAAATGAAAAATTTCTAATAATAATAATATTATCTGCTTTCCTTCTCTTTTTTTTTTTTTTTAATTTTGATTATTTGCAGAATTTGAATAATAAAATTTATTCATTCATCATATTTTGTTCAAATTCTATTGATAGAAATACAACTGTACGAAATATTCAAAAAGTGAAATGAAAAGCAAAAAATGCTTTTTTTATTTGATTACTTATTTAAGCTTACTTTATTTGAAATTTTACTTACTTTACTCAAATTTTTCCTTCATGAAAAAATATTCCAAACTTTTTCCATGTTCGGTTTTTTTTTTTTTTTTTTTAATACTTGAATTGCATCTATTTGATTAATTATTAATTGGAATAGAAAATAGTCTTTCCAACTCCTTTTTTTTTTTCTGATTAGAACTTTCAAATAAATAAGTGATAATTTTCATATTTCATATCATCGCATTAAAATATTACCTAAAAATATTGTTTAAAATATTACCTAAAAATATTACCTGAAAAAATTACCTTTAGGAAGATTGTCCATTCATTGTTTGTATGACATATGCATTTCAAACACCTGATAAGCTATGCTTTATACTTGATCTCATGAATGGTGGTGATCTGCATTATCACCTTAGTCAACATGGTATCTTTTCAGGTAAGCCAAACTTACCTTTACTTCTTATTTCAGTAAGTAAGTACTTTTCATTCTGATTGTATATGAAGAGAAATAATTTTGAATACTAATCTAATTTTGTTTGAATATTTTATCTGATCATAAAGCATTTATTTCAAACTTTTTATTAGACCAATTAAATAACATTTTTCTTTTGCTATAGCGTTAAATTTAGATTAAAAAATAATTATTTTTACTAATGTAATCATTTGATCGTTTTTTATTTAAATACATATTTATTAATATAAATGCATGTTTACTAGGTGTAATAATTAAATTCTGATTATTTATATTATTTACATTAATGATATTAATATCATATTAATTTTTAAAAAATCTTAATTATTATATATATATACTACTTATATTAATGATATTATTACTATATTATTTATTAAAAAATCTTGTTTATTATATATATTATTTATATTAATGTTATTATTACTATATTAGTTATTAAAGAATTTTTAAATCTAAATTATTATATATACATTAATGATTTTATTATATTAATTCTTTAAAAAAAAAAATAAAATATTATTAAAAATTTTAATATCGTTCTTTATTTTTTTCTTCTCTCTTTGTTTGATATGAAAATGATATTTTCTTTCTTTTTTTTTTTTTAGAAAATGAAATGTTATTTTATGCGGCAGAAGTAATCCTTGGCCTGGAACATATGCATAATCGTACCGTAGTTTATCGAGATTTAAAACCAGCTAACATTTTATTGGATGAAAACGGACACGTACGTATTTCTGATCTTGGCCTAGCATGTGATTTTTCAAAGAAGAAGCCACATGCCAGCGTGTAAGTATTTTTGCTATAAAAAGTAAAAAAACAACAGAAAAACAAAAATAACTAATTAAAAAAAAAAAAAACAAAAACAAAAATAATAAAAACAATTTACTTGAAAAACCAATAAAATTTGAAAAAAAAAAAAAATTGAAAAACTAATGCAAAAACAAATAAAGCAGGCGATAACAATAACAAAAACAAATTTAAAAATGGTTCAAAAAAAAATAATAATAATAAAATTTAAAAGAATCAAAATAAAAATGAATCATAAAATATTTGAAACTTACTATAACAATCTCTAGTAAACAATAACCAATATAAAGAAATAACACAAAAAAAAACCAAAAAAAAAAATCTATGATTAAACTAAAATTGAAGTATTACAATTCCAAATAAGAATGATGATGATAATTCTAATGAGTACTGCTGGTAATAATTAAATATTCAACTTGCATAAATTACAAACTTTCAGAAATTAAACTGATGATACAGGTGTGATTATTAATTAGTTAAATATGAATATGATATGAAATTTTGTTATCATTTGATAAAGGTAAATGTTTTTTTGCAGTGGAACTCATGGATATATGGCACCGGAAGTGCTTGCAAAAGGTGTCGCATATGATTCATCAGCTGATTGGTTCTCATTTGGCTGTATGTTGTATAAACTTCTCAAAGGACATAGTCCATTTCGTCAACATAAAACTAAAGCAGGTATTAAGGTAATAGGTGTAATTAATTTAAACTTAAAATTATTTAAAATATTGAATGTCAATTTCAGCATTTCATCTTGGTATGCTAATTTTAGATAATTAATTATGAGTCGATAGGTTTTATACTTTTCAAAAAGTTTCAAATAAGCTTTTTGACTCATTGGATAAAGACAGGTAAACGATGAGAGATTATGCAGTAATTAATTATTTAAATTTATTCATACTGAATGTCAACTTCAATATTTCATTTTTTTGTCTTAGAGAGTTGATGAACTTTTTTAAAAAGTTTCAGATAAGGTTTTTAACTCATTGGAAAAAGACAGGTAAATGATAAAAGATTGATAAATGATTTATTAATTAGTATTATTATCATTGCATGAATCATTTAGGTAATTGATGATTGTGTTAGATTGACAGATATTAAATGATGAAATTATTTTAAGTCAAATTTTTGTCAAACATTTGTTGAAAAAAAAAAAAAAAAAACTAAAAATTTTTAGATAATGATTTTTTGAAATATTATATAAAAGTTTTGCAGAACAGTGATATGGAAAAAATAGCAATAAATCATGACATTGATCTTCCGGATGCTGGTTTCTCACCGGAATGTCAAGATTTAATAGAAGGCTTACTGAAATATAGTGTTCCGGATAGACTTGGATGTCATGGAAGAGGGTTTGTAATACGGAAAAATTCATTTAAAAAAAAAAAAAAAAAACGATAGCTTTAAAAGAGAATTTTATAAAAATGAAAGGCTTATTGAAAGGCAAAAACTATGTCAGTGAATATAAAAAAAAATTAATAGTAATAATATTTAGCAATTTTATCAAATATATTATGGAATATATTCTTTTTTTTTTAAAAAAAATTTTTAAACATTAATTTTTTTTATAATACTTCAATTTATAATTTAAAAAGAAAAAATATTTCAAATATATATTTGCTAAAAAAAAAAAAAAAAAAAAAAAAAAAATGAAAATAAAAATAATCACAAACTATAAGATAAACAGTTAAATATTTTGAGACAAATTTGAATCAAAAAATTTCTTCACTACCTATTTGAATATAATTTTTTTAAGTGTGATAGTTCACTCTCGATATATAGAATGCTAATTTAATTGACATTTTAGTCCGGAAGAAGTAAAAGAGCATCCATTTTTTGCTTCCATTGATTGGCAAACGGTATATTTAAGACGAATGCCACCACCAATTATACCACCACGAGGTGAGGTTAATGCAGCTGATGCATTTGACATTGGTAATTTTGATGATGACGAAGTGAAAGGTATTAAAGTAAGTAAGGTTTTCATTAAAAATTTTTTTCTTTTTTAAATTTTCTTAAAGTTTTTTTTTTTGAGTTTAAGGTAATAGCTGTAATGGATGAAAAGTTGATTTTTTGAAATAATTTCAAAAAGTAGAATAGCTTAAATAACCAAAAAAAAAAAATTCAAATAAATTGATTCATATTAAATTTGACCATAGCAAATTAAATTAAACGCATAATCCTTTAGCATTAATTGCATTGCTATCCTTCCTGAAATTTTAAGTAATTAAAGATTTCATCGCGTCTGTTAACCGATTTAAAAATAAATAGCGACATTGCTTTAAAATAAATAGATATTCAAAAATAGAAAATTGAAATAATTATAAGATAAATAGATATAATAACTAGATATGAAATAAATAGATGTTATAAAATAAATATAAAATAAATAGATGCACCTGAATTTTTCGTTAGATTAGAAATATATACATTTCCACTTGGTTATTCTATCACTAAAATATATTTTACACTAAATAATCATAATTTATATTATTTTCATAATAATTTTTATATTATTTATTATATTATATCGAGAGTGATTTTTTCTTTAATATTTCAACTTAAATATTTTAGCTATAATTTCGTTCATTTAAAAATTCTTAATTTTGAAAATGGATAATGTCAAGAAAATATTGTTTTTTTAGCTAACCGAAACTGATAGTAAATTGTATAAAGATTTCAATATAACAATTTCGGAACGATGGCAAAATGAAATAGCAGATACAATTTTTGAAGTGGTAAATCAAGATGCTGATAAAGCTGAGAGCAAAAAACGAGCTAAACAACGAGCTAAACTTGGTAGTGATGAAAAAGGTAATAAATTAAAACATTAGTAATTAATTAACTAATGAAAAGATTTCAAATTATTAATTTATAATTATTTCATTTATAGATTCGGATGTAATCATACATGGTTATATTAAAAAACTTGGTGGACCATTTACATCTGCATGGCAAACTCGTTATGGTAAACTTTATCCAAGTCGTCTTGAACTTTACCCTGAATCACTTACTGGTAAACCAGAGGTAAATTTTTCAAAAATTCTCTCTCTCTCTCTCTCTCTCAAATGATTTAATTACATCTGTATTATTTCTAATTGCAAACGTACAGAATTTGATTATAAATTCCATTATAGAAATGTTACGTTATTTCAGTTAATTTTTTTTTTTTTGAACGAAACAGATTCCTTGTAAAGCTTTTTTTTTTTTTTATTACACAATCAAATTTTAAAAATGATTTAAAATTTTCTCGGCTTCTATCATTGATTTACCATCTCAATTCATTGAAGAAGTTAAGTACTTTTATTATTATTATTATTATTATTATTATTATTATTCTTATTATTATTATTATTATTGTTATTATTATTATTATTACTTTTGCTACTCAAATAACTATTTTAGCTAGTATTTATGGATCAAATTGAGGATGTCGCTATTGATTTACATAATGTCAAAGGAGAGCATTCCATAATTGTAAAATTAAAAGAAGGTTTTAAAGAGACAAAACTGATTTTCACCAATCAGGTTTGCTTATGTATCACTCATTTTATCTTCTCTTGTAGATTGTAGCTTTTCTTTTTAGAGAAAAACTGAAAATAACTTTAATTATTTTTCTGAAAGTCCAAAAAATACTGTAACTTCAACATTGTTTGATTGTAGAGTGACTAAACTATCATATAGTACAAATTGAAAATTTGCAAAATTTTAATTTTAATTTTTTTTTTATTTTCTTCTTCAAGAGTAATAATTTCAGGATGAGATATCATTAGCTGAATGGCATACTTCATTAAGGACTGCTCATCGAGTATCGTCCGAATTATTACAACGAATGGGTCGTAAAGCAATTAAAATATATGGCGTAAATCATGATCCAATGCTTGATGATAATGAACGTTTAGCTTCCGTTACGAAAGCTCTTCTAAATCGTACACCTTCTCTTGATTCCGGAATTTAATCTAATAATTATTTTAGCAATAATTATAGTAGAAAAAAAAAAAAAAAAAAATGCTTTTCACTTGCAAAATTCTATTTCACATTTTTCAATGGCACTAGAATGAAACAAATTTTAATGACAAACAAAATACCTTTAAAGCACAAAAATTATTTCAACAATAAGAAAGAATATGGGAAATGTGATATTATTCATTTAAAAAGAAAAAATGAAAAGAGTATTCGATAAATGGTTTTCTTTAATAAAAAGAGAAATGAAATTAAAATAGTTGCTGAATGAAATTTGTATTTTTTTCTTTCATTTTATGCTGGCTAATTTATTTGTTAGATTTCCTATTCTCAGGCATTATTTGTGCATAAATGAAAAATATAGAAAATAATGCATTATTCGAAATTATTGAATAAATTATCAAATAAAAAAAAAATTTTTTGGTAAAGAAAAAAGTACCAAAATCGATGCCACTTAAAGAAATTTTGTAACTCAGTTCATTTTAGCACCTTTTATTGTCTAGTAAGTCTATGATATTAAAAAAATCCCAAAATTATAAGACAAAGATATCATGATCTGCACCTCTTAGTTATGCCTAAGCATAAATATCAGTCTTTGTATACTTTTACTTACTTTGGAGCAAATATTTTGTCCTGTTCGTTGATTTTGTTGTTTCAAGAAAAAAAATTTTTTTGTTCTAATATTACTGTGATAGATAGTATTTTATAAGATAATATTTAGTTGTCAAAAAATTTTATCAAGTTGTCCTACCACTTTGCAACTCTTTTACACTTGTATTTTGTAACTACTATTCTAAAATAAACTATACAAAATCTAATTATTAATTTTTTAATCTTTGCTCTGGGCATATACCATTCTACTTACAATAACTTTTGTAATAACTTACAATATCATTTCATGCGAAATCCTTTCATTCTGTACTGTGATTAAGGCAAATAAAGCATACACTGCTTAAAATTGTATTTAAAATCTATTTTCCCTTGGCTCTTTGAATTAATTTCTTTGTTATCAACTAATTCTCCTCAATTTCAATCTCATATTGACATTTTCCTATCCTTACTTCAGAACAAAAGTTGCACGGAGGAAAAACATAAAGCCCAAGCGTTTTGGCTAAATAATCCTAATGGCTTGAAATAGCAATAGGAAAAGAGAAAATATATGCGCTAATGCTAATGGACCATTAGATTGTTTGTCGATGAAGTAACAGCCTTATAATCTTGATGTATTTTAAGCGTGAAAAAAAATTATAAAATCTAGTCACAAAAGAATTGAGAAATGAAGCAAATAATGAATGATCACTGCAGTGATGTTGAATAATACTAATGGCATGTCATTTAGATCGTTATGTAAGAGTTATACGAATAAAATAAGCTCAAATATTTATTAAATATCATCTGTTTGTAAGTGAAAAACATTCAAGTATAATATACCTCTGAAAATATTTGCATAGTATATAGTTCATAAGTGTTCGAAAACTGTTGCATATTGATATGGGTGAAATAAAACGTTCATCAATATTCATAAAGAAATTTGAAAAAAAAATTACGAAATGGAACAAAAATCTCTAATCATTATTCACTCCTTACTTTTCTCAAAAAATTTTAGGGTATAACTAAATTCTCTCTTTGTTCTTAAAATCAAATAATGAACAATAAAAAAAAAGAAATATTATAAGGTCTACACCACCCTAATGATGCATGAATTCAAATAAAACTGTAGATAATAGGATGATATTACTGATTTTGTTCATCGTCTTCATCAGCTACTTCTTCGTCATCATCTTCCAGATCATCAATTTCTTGCAATAAAGTGCTTCCAGAAATAACATTTGGTACTGAACGCATTTGAGCAAATACAGACTAAAATAAGTTCAAGAAGGGTAACAGATGTGTTTTAAATCTTTTTTTAAAATATTCCCATGTATTTAGTGGAAGAAGTATCATTTACCGTTATGTGAAAGCTAAGTGATTACCTGCGCACTGATACGTGATTCTAGTCTCGAAAGTAAAATTTCATCAATTGCATCTGTACAAGGAATTGCCCATGCTGGTTCATCCCATCGCAATGGTACCGTTGGGAAATGCATAGGATACATAAATGCCATATTTTTCCTCGAATTAGAGATGCATTGAAACAGGGATAGAAAATAGATAATGCAGATCTAAAATGACAAAGTCAATAAGTTATAATTTGTGGACAGTATTACTTTCATTTCAAACATGCACCTTTGTTTTACATAACTCATTTTAGTAAAAAAAATGTACGTATTGAGCTTCATATAACAAAGATTGTAACAGGCTAATAAAGTGTTGAAATTCATTTATTTCGGAGTTTTGATGATTACAAACTAATATCGAAAATGACATACTATATTAATAGAAAAAAATCATTATTAATAAAAAATAAATTGAAAAAAGAGACATAAGTGACAGATATAAATATGCGAAAGTAAGAGGCAATGAAAAATAATGCACAATCTGACACACTACATGTAACAAAAATATTTAAACCACAGAGCTCTTTTCTTAGCGACAACAAAAATTCATATTAGAAAATATAAACAAAGGGTAACAAATTACATAAAAATTCACATACAGTATAGCAAAATGTAAAGATTATCTCAATAAAACAGCCCATGAGCATATCTATCCGTATCTGAGATATTTCAATCTCACGGATGAAATTAAAAATTTGAGCAATTACAATGATGCCAATTCGTCCTTGTAATCGGTTGGCTCTTCGCCTTCGGCTAACAATTTTCCCACAACAGGATATTTGTCTATAATACATGAAATTAGCCTTGTCAATTGGAGGGAAACTGAACCTTTACTAAGAATAAATCGATATGAACAATAAATAAATCATTTCTCATTTATCAATCATTTCATTGCTAACTGAAAAATATAATTTAATCCGTCTAAACTTATCTCGAGTTTATATTTCTTTAATGTCTTGAAAATTACGATCTGTAAACAAATATGACAATCAGATAGTAGCTATAAAACCTACAGCTAAACGATTCCATCCATTCTCTAGCTGTATTAAGATCCAAATCTGAAATATCACTTAAGTCATCTGGAATATCTTTGACCAATGTCAAGTCCATTTTTGCCAAAGCTCGTGTAGCATCATGACCTGCCAATTTACCATATGCACCTTCAGGACCATAAAATATACTCCCTTTCGTTACGTCAAATACCTACAAAATCTTTAGTTGCCGAAACCACAATTTTCAGTCATTTTGTGTAATATGACATTACGAGCTGAGTTAGAGAAGAGATCAGAATCTTCCATTTTAGATACCGTCATACACAGTATTTCTTAGAAGCTACATTTGCTCTTCAATAATCCATTTTATCATTTCTTTTCTTCTTTTTATTTTTGTAAAATAAATAGATTTCTAATATGTCTATTCGAGAAATTAATTGAATTGTTTCGCTTGATTTGTGCGATTATGCCTAAACTTACTTAAAAAAACTATGTATAAAAAATTATGTTTCAGAATTTTACACGAAATTAAATGTTAGTTACCTTTCCACAAACAGCCATAAGAATACGTTCATTTTGTATGCCATCAAAGTGTAACAATTGTTCCACTGTAAAATCTCTCTTTTGCATTGGTGGAAGAGAATTTAATGTCTCTTCCACATCCGAATGTTTCTCTTTTGTTGGCTTCTTCAAGAATACCACACAAATCACATAAATAACAAACACGAAAATCACCAAATCCCATCCACCTAATTCTGTCACATCTCCAAGAGTTAACATATTTCCTTGCTAAATATATCAGTTCTCGTTTTAACGCAGCACAACTATGCAACAAGTTCATCCAATTTTTTTTTTTCTTTATTTTTATATAACATTGATTTAATAGATATGTTTTTTTTTTTTAAATTGAAAATTTAATTTACATTGCAGAAATTTCCACATTTTATTATCACTACTATTAATTATCTTTGTCTAGACAATCATCATTGATTGTGTTAGAAAGGGAAGGGTGTATTTGTTAGCGAAATGGATAAATAATATAACCAACATTTTAATTATTTTTATTGTTTTTAATAGTTTGAAATAATTACTGCATGGTATTAAAAATGAATGTAAAAGATAACTTTTGTAAGTAAGTTGATATTTTTCTACATCAATCGATTGTGTAAGTTTTGAAATTTTGCCATTTTAAAATTGTCATTTTCTTTTTGTGTTTTCATGGTAATTGTTACCATCTGCTATTTATTTCAATTAAATAATTGATTATAAAAATTATTTTTCCTATTTTTTTTTTTATTATAAAGATTTTAATTTAATGAAGAAAATGTTTTTTTCTTTTTTTTTTGTCCGATAATTTAATCATTTCTTTCAACTAATAAATTATTTGTAAGAATAATTAGATGATTAATATGCATTTTGCAAAAAATTAAAAATAAATTGAATGTTTCAATGATAATGGAAAAGTTTGAAATTAATTCGAAATGCTTTTGATTGTATAAACATTTAAAAAAATTTTCATATTTTTGTTAAAATATATTAAAGAGAGAGAGAGAGAGAGAGGGAGGGAAAAAGAGACAGAAAGAGAAAAAGAAAGTGAATTCAGCATTGTTTGAAATGATTTTTCTTTCTTTTAACATAAATTAAATTAAAAATGTTAACCATTTGTTGTCAGAGAAATTTTGCATAAATTTATCAAATGTGTATTATTATGTAGCAATATAATTGAATTTTGCTTTATCATTAATGTAATTAGCATGGCATTCAATCAGCATCGAGCATTTTTAATTATTTTAAATTCGATTGAACAGTTTTGTTTGAGATAAGAGAGGAAATATATATCCACGGAGATCAGTGATATGATAAATGTTGATGTGAAAAAAAAAAAAAAAATGAAAACTTCAGATTACAATTTCAACAAGCAATTATTTCTGCAAAATAATTATTAGCAACAATTAGAAATAAAATAAATGAGAACAGCAAAAAAAAAAAAAAAAAGAAACATGGGGAAGTGGGATAGAAAAATTTTTATTGTTACTAATGTAAATTTTAGCCATTTATTTGAGATTCTAATTGTTACTAATTGTTGTTGCTATTGTTGTTGTTGTTGTTGTTGTTGTTGTTATTGTTATTGTTGTTGCTATTATTGTTTTTGTTTGTTGTTTATGATAATGCAGCTACAATAGCAGTAATTTCTTCTGCTAAACAAACAAAAACCATCTTATACTGTTCGCAAGTTTCCACCATGCATGGACGTTGATCACGTAAATGTTCCAATGAACCTGCTACGTTCAATTCTTTCACACCTGTTAAAAAAGTAAACACTTTTTTTTTGAAATCTTTTTTTTTTTGAAGTGAAATTTAATCTAAGATAAATTTAAAATTTTTTTTTTTATTTATTATACTATATTTTGAATAGCATATAATGACATTTCCAATAAAATAGTAATCTATGAATTTGCATGGTTATTTTTAATTTTAATGAAACCAATTTTGCATTTTAAAGGTTAGCGCATTAACATAACGTATAAATTTTACTAACATGTGATTTATTATTGATATTGTTTATTATTATTTATTATTAATTGTTATTATTAATAATGTTTATTATTATTTATTATTAATTGTTATTATTAATAATGTTTATTATTATTATTACTGTTTATTATTAATTATTATTATTGTTGTTATTATTATTATTGTTACTATTATTATTAATTATTATTATTGTTATTATTATTATCATTATTATCATTATTTCTATTACTATTATTATTATTATATGTTTGAGTAACAGTGGCTGGATGATAAATAAAAAATAAGATTAATTGTTTGAACGATTTCGGCGCTATTAAAATAAAAATGAATAAATAAATAAAATATATATATATATATATATTCCTGATTTGCATATTAAACTAAAAGTATACCTCTGCTAACTCGATTCAGTATCATATCAAGCAAACAGAATGTACCAGTTCGTCCGGTTCCATCTGTACAATGTACAACAATTGGAGCTGCTCGTCCGCGATATGATTTATTGATTTTTCTGCAAAATTATCATAAAATTTTTGTTTTATTTTTTAAAATTATATCTCAACATGACAAACTTTTTTTACGTATAATTAAATTAAATTTATCTTATATTATAATAATAATAATAATAATTCATTAATAATATCAAAGTTTAGCATTTATGACAGGTATCATTTGATGTAAAATCAATATATCAGTATTAATTCGAGAGGTTAAAATAATTCAATAATACAATGGAAAAATGAAATTTTATTTTTATTTTTAATTTTTTTTTTTTTTTTTTTTTTGTTGATTAAATTTTCTGTTAGGAAAAAAAAAGAAAATAATAGGAAAAAATAGGACAAAAAAAAAAAAAGAAAATAATTTTGTGATCAATGGAATGTATACGTATGGAAACGTAAGGAAAGGTGGTGGATTAGTTGGAACAAACGACGCTTCACGTCCATCACTTTTGTGACTATGCAATTATTCGAGAACAAAATTGCTAATCCACAAAAATGATCGACGAGCGGAAACGTCTCATCAACCGGAATGAGTGCAACAGACAATCGGTCATTATTTTGTCAACATAGAAATGTCACAACAGGAATGTTTGTCTGTTTGTGTCTTTACGATTTTTTTTTTTTTTTTTTTTCTTTTCCTCCTATTAAATTGCAATATTAAAATGATAAAAAATGAACTCTATATAGTGTCAATTTGAAATGTTATCCGGAAAAGGTAATCGGAATGATTCATTTATTTGTAGGGATTTTTAAAGAAAATATCAATTGAAAATATTTTTATTGATTGCAGTATAAGTAATCGTTAAAATTAGGTCGCCAAATTTTTAATATTATAAAAATATATTTTAATATATATTATATATATTAAAATATACTTTAATATATTTAAAAAATATATTTTTTTTCTAATATTATATTTACACAGTCTAAAGTAGATACTGAAATTGCTATATATATATATATTTTTTTTTTCCTATGAATTAAGTTATACTATTATTAAAAAGTAACCTGCGAAAATCGAGTAAAGCTTTTGCACTCGGTGGTACTCCATTTTTAGGCCATGTCAAGAAATGAAATTGTGTTACTGTCCGAGTTTCGTTTGTTTTCAAATTTTTTAAATAAAATGATCGTACTAAATAGTCCTCACTCCAAATATGTTCTGATACCAAATGAATCTGAAAAAAAAAAAAAAAATGATTTAAAATTAATTAATAATTTTTTGCAAACAAATGCAATTTTTCAAAAGTTTATTAAGTAAGTAATAATATTTGCATATGTTTGTATATTTATTTAAAAGATCATAAATGATCATTGCACAATGAAAATTTAAACTGTATTGAATAAAAATTAAATTTGAGTTTATTATTGTAAACGTTGAAATTTGCAATGTTTTTTTTATCAATAACTAAATATGATGCAAATGCTTCGCAATTTAATTTTATTTAATTTTATTGTTGTGATTACAATTAAGATATCATTGCAAAATTGTACAAATATTAAATAAATATGAAAAAATTTTATATGTATATGAAATGAAATACTTTTATATTAATTAATAATTTTTTTAGTTTCTTAAAAATATTGTTTTTTGCATAATTTTTCTTTTCTTATTATCATAATTTGTTCCATTTCTATTTGCATTTTTTTTTTTTTTTTTAATAATTTCGTCCCATTTGCATTTTATTTATTTTTTTATTTAAACAAATTAACAATTATCATAATTTATTCGATTTGTATTTTATTTGTCTTTGAATAAATTTTAAATAATAAAACTAACTTCAAAAGATCCATACACTTGTGAACCACTTTCAGGCCAATATTTGAGGCATTGACCTTCTTGCTGATCTTCATTATTTGCTAAGTTCACAATTAATACCGTAGCCTAGAATTTAAAAAAAAAAAAAATTCATATCTTCAGATATTATATAATAAAATTTTTAACATTTAATATGTTAAAATAAACTTATGTGAAAAAAGAAAAGAATGAAATTAAAGTTAACATTTAATTGATTAAATGATTAATGTATTAAAAGTTAAACATATTAAATCAACGTAAAATAAAATTTAAATGGTTGAATTAGTATGAAGTAAAAATTTATAAATAAAAAATAATTTTTTAGCTGATCCATCTTATATGTTTGTATTTCTTCTATTTTCTAAGATTTTTTCTTTTTTTTTTTTTTTTTTCATTTTGTTAACTTTTATATAACTGTAATTTTTGAAGAAATATTTTCTGTTAACATTGAATTTTCATTTTGATATTACATTCTATTGCATTTTTTCAAATCAATTTTATTTGTTAAAATTATTTTTGCCTTTTTATAGTTGCTTATTTTGAATTTATATTATTAATTAAAAGAGATATAACTTGTAAAATTTGATTGATATTAGCAGGCTTAAAATCTTTTCTGATGTATTACCTATCCACCAATTCTTTTCTTTTTTTTTTATCAAGTAGTTAATTTTAATGAATGATAAGAAGAAAGGTATTTAAAATTAAAACTTTTAAGTTTTTTTAAAACTAAAAGTTCTTAAATTCAAAATTAAAAGTTTTAATGCTATCATTCAGTCATTGAAGCAATAAAATTCAGTATAACTATGATATAATAATATCAAGTGATAAGATCGACATTTATCATCATTTGTAGTTATTGCAGCAGGATAATGATAATGATAAGCTGATAAACGAGGAAAGTTGTAGTGGGAATTACTTCAAAATACACATATAATGAAGAAAAAAAAAAAAAAAAAAGATTAGCTGTATAAATCAAATAAATTAATGATTAATTTTAAAAATAATCATCAAACATGACTAACTTGTTCCCAAATCATTTGCCAAAAATCGGTTATGGTTTCCGGAAGTGGTGATTGTGTAGCAATATAATTGGCTTGTTTCGGATCACAATCATGAATTGCAGATGCATTGATAAAATCGGAATCATTTACGGTGCTACGAATACTAACCAATGTATCATCATCTACAAACATATTATTTAAATGATATTTTTTTAAATTAAATGAAATTTTTTTTTTTTTTTTTAAATGAAACTAATTTTTCAAATGTATTAGAAATGATATATTGATAAGTATTGAGAAAAATGTTGTTAATCATTAAATTCTTTTCTTCTTTTTATGTAGAAAGAAAGTGAAGTATATTCATAGATTATAAAAATGATCAATGTGATAAAATTTTAGAAATATTTCAAATGGTTTTTCTTTTTTTTTTTTTTTCATTCAAACTATCATTTTGCATTTTACAATCAAATATATTTCATTTTTTTATATGAAAAAAAAAAAAAGAAAATTTAATGATTAATAGTTTTTCTAATGCATAACAATGTGTCACTTTTAACATAACAAAATTAATTTTACTTATTAGAAATGTTAGCTGATGAAAGCTTAAAATTTAATTCATTTATTTTTCTTTTTACTTTCATTGTTTTTCATCTTATTTGAAAAGGAATAATTATTAGCATAACCGCTAGCAAAATCTAATTTAATCAAATATTATTTGTAGTAACTTTCCCGGAATGTTTAGAATCGATGTAAAATAGCTATCATTCAGGAATAATAATAATAATAATAATTTTGAAAGAGTTTTGATACACTGTATAATATTAATTTTAATTAATTTAATATCACATGAAATTTGGAGCAGAAAAATATATCTCATTGCATAATAATCGATATTTTCTTAGCTTTAGTTTCACATCTTAAAAAGATGTCCAATTTAGATTTAATGAGAGATGAGAGAGAGAGGGAGAGAGAGAGAGAGAGAGAGAGGTATATTTAAGTGATGGCAAAATTGCTAATGTAAAAAAGGAAATGCTTCAAAAGCATTTGTCATTGTCAAATGTTTTAAGCTTTATACATTTCATAATGCATTAAAACTCTCTCTCTCTCTCTCTCTCTCTCTTCTCTCTATGTGAACAAAAATAAAATTAAATTAACGATGAAAAGCTTACATGGAAGATAAGATAGATTTCGATTTTTGTTAATATTTTTTTCTTCTCGAGCAATTGATGATATTCCATTTGCATTTGCATATTCGTTCAATGTTTTCCATTGTTCTTCAATTTTTGATGTATCATTCAAATAGTCACGAAGGAATGACTGAAATTTTAAAATTTGAAATAAGTATAGAAGTAATGGATGTAAAGAAGAAATTTTCTTTCTGATGTTAATATGAAATGCATAAAAATGAAAAAATGCAAAAATTTTTTACAAAAAAAAAATGATTGCTAAAAGATAGAGAAGTAATAATGATAATAATAATAATAATAATAATAATAATAATAATAATAATAATAATAATAATAATAAATTACTCTATTATTCAATGTTAAATTCCGGTAAAAAAAAAAAAAAAGAAAGAAAAAAAAATTATTATTTTGCTCATAGAATATATGTTGAAAGGAAATTTAAATTAGAAAAGTTGATGAAAAAAATTTATGTTTGAGAAAATAATTAATGTAAAAATTTTAACTATTAATTAAAATAATTAAGGAATTAAATACTAAATGCAAAATATTACTTACCAAAATGACATGACCGGTTGATATATCAAGATTGGATTGACTAATCGGTTCATCAACCCTTAACAATTTAAAATTTTGAACTTCTATTTTATAATTTTTGAAACAGATTTTTCATATCCTATTTTTTTTTTTTTCATTTATTTATTTTCTTGTTTAAAAAATGAAATTATCAGCTAAATAAGCGTACCAGGTTGTTGTACCGGAACGATTAGTATGAATATCAGTGATGCCTGTTGATTCATGTGAAGTCATCTGATATCGGCATAAATCCTGATAAGCAAGTAATGTCTTATCATTATATTTATCACATTCAAATTCTGAAATATTCGATTTACGGATCTTCTTACGATGTTCCCTGATTTGATGAACTGCCATTACCGTCACCAGAAGTATCAGTGTAAATGCGCTTACAGCAAGTATTGGTATAAAAAAATGATCTCGAGTTTCACTTTCAACCGGTACCGCTTCCTGAAAAGATATTTCAGCGATATTGCTTCAGGAGTCAATAATAAATGAATATATAAGCAAATTAATTCATTCATTCATTAATTAAATGATTAGTTAATTAAATAATAATAATAATTGAAAAATTAAATGAAGAAATAACTAATAATTGCAAAAATAAATAAACAAATTAGTTAATTAATTAATTAATTGATGTCTCTTTAACTTCTCTAAGATGCCAGAAAAGACTTTTTTTTCTTTACTTTTTTTATCAAAGTATATAACTTACTCTTCCACTTCCGATACCGGTTTCATCGACGTGTACGCCAGAAACTGTTTGAATATCTTTTCGTCGTTTATCTATAATAGTACAGAAAATTTCATCTAACAAAATTTAAATTTTGATTTTTATCATTTATCTATAATAACAGTAAGAAAAAAAAATTTCATCCAACAAAAGTTTAAATTTTGAAAATTTTTCCAATTTTGTAATATAAATTTTTTTTTAAAAAAAAAATTTAACTTACAAACATCTTCTGCGATACCTCCCACCGAATCTAAATGTTTTTCATTTTGCGAAGATCTTTGAGCTGATCGACCAGCACGAAATGATAACTGATCACCGTCCAATCTGTAACAAATTTTCATAGTGTCGTAGATAAGAGTAAAGATTGGATATGTTAAGATGATATGATTAGATATCAGTGATAATCATAACTGATCTATTGACTAACTTAGAAGTACATCTTATTATCATTGATTAGTTTCAAGCTTCTATCAGTATGTTTTAATTAGCATAATTCAATTATTACTAATTCTATATAATCTTTAAATTAAATTTGCTATATAAGATTAATTAATAATTATTTATTTATGAAATTAACAAATAATTAATTAAAAAAAAAAAAAAAAAAAAAAGGAATTTCAAAGAAAAAAAATGATAATTAAACGTACAAAAAATCATCAAAAATAAGTTGATTTGGTTTTGCAATTGATAAATCCAAATAGTTGATAAGATGATACAATTTATCATTATTCAAATCTTTAGCAACTTTTAAATATACTCGATTACCGTTTACTTTCTGATATGATGGCATTCCTTTTACTATTTTATGCTCTATTTTTTCCAAGCCTAAAAAAAAAAAAAATGATTAAATTTTAATTTAAAATATGAATGTTCTGAGCAAAAAAAAAAAAAAAACGAAAAAACGAAAAAACAAAATCATACAAAATAAATTATTATAAACAATAACTGAATTTAGTTTTAATTAAATTGAAATGCGACATTTGTCGATTACTATTTATCTTTCAATAAAATGATATTTTGCACTTTAATACTAAAACTTTGTTAACGAATGAATTTCATTTAGTTGTTGAAAAAAAAAAAAAAAAAAAGTTACATTGAACAATTTTCATTTTATTGAAGTAATATGAAAAGTGCAAATAGTGTGCTACATTCAATGATTGAGCAATTTGATGAATTTAAATTTAAATGATTAAAAATTTAGACGAAAAAAAAAAAAAAAAACAAAGTATTAATTGCTTTGTTACCGTGAATGATTCATTGTTTCACATTTTACATTTCATTGTCACACCCTTAACCACAATTTTGTCAACTGTAGGGTTAATATTAGTAAAGATTTTCATTCGTTTTTTTTTTTTTTGTTTTTTTAATTTTTTAAAAATGTAATTAACCTGTATTTTGATTACCAAGATGCTCGATATCTTTTTTTAAAACAGGTGCATGATAGCCAACAAAATTTAACGATTCTTCTTCCTCTTCTTCACCAGAATTTGGAAATGCTATAAGTAATTATACTAATTTAAATTTCATTTTAATGAATTTGAATTACTATCATTGTATTATTTTGTTTTTTATTATTTCTTTTAATTTGCGACTAATTTTGAATTGTGATTATTTAAGCAAAAAAAAAAAAACAAAAAATCTTTTTTTTTTTATTTATTTTAAAGACCATTGATTAATTTTTATGAATATTAGAGTGAAATTTTTTCTTTTGGCTAATTTTGATTACATTTAAAATTTGCAATTAAAGCAATTATACCAGATGGCATGAAAGCTTCTACCGCTAGCATATTTCCATCATTATCAATTAATTTTTCTTCAGTGTCCTTCCATATTTTTGCTTTGAAATTATTATTGTCATCAAATAATTGTCTTTTGGGAATTGAATTGAAATTATTTTCGTTATTATCCTCATCATCACTCGTCACATCACCTATAAAATCTAAAAAACACCTGTAAAATCTGAAAGATAAAATATAAAATTTGCTAGCAAAATTTTCTCATTAACTTTCTTAAATTTTATTATAAAAATTAACTTCCATGCAGTAAATAAGTAATTGCTGTATAGAATTAATTTTTTTGTAAACAACAAATGATGTAATTTTATTTAAAATTTAAAAATTTAATTGAAATTTGCTAGATGTTTTCTCTATGCATTAATTCTTATTAACGATACCCATTTGTTGTTGTTGTTGTTGTTGATAATGTTGTTGTTGTTGTTGTTGTTGCTGGATGAAATTATTCAACAATTCCTTATTTGAGTTGACACTTTGAATATCTGTGACATCATTGGCAAGTGCCATTTTTATTGACTAAAATAGTTTAATTTCATTTTTAGCATCAAAATTAATTTTGAAAAGCAAATTCAATTTTTTTTTTTTTTATTATCCTAAACATTATAACAATATAATCTTAAAGAAATGAAATTATAGATTCGCAAATCTGTAAACTAAACAAAATTTTATATCGAAAAAATCATCTCAAATACAATTTTTATCAATTTTAATGCTTCAAGGAAATGAAGCTGATAATTTCCTTAATGTTTCCTTGTTGCATCAATAATTTCAATTGTTATTTCATAAATTTCAAAAAAAAAAAAAAAAAATGGAAAAAATGATTTCATAAAAATTTTTCAAGCATATGAAATAAGCTATTTCATTCATTATCATATATTTCTTTAAATTTTTCATGTGGTCAAGAAAAAAAAAAAAAAAAAGATAATTTTGTATTTTTAAACTTTAAACAAAATTTTATTTAAAAAAAAAGCAATTTTTTTTTAAAGTAAAAAAAATTGTTAGTTTTTCAAAAAAAAAAAAATTTAAAAAACAAAAGAAAATGAAGAATATACATATATAATATATAATGTGTTATATATTAAATTATTAAATCAATTTTAAAATGATATCAAATTTAAATAAAAATAATATTACTATTATTATTAAAAGGATTGATTTCTGATGTTTTCCATTATAAATTATAATCAATATTTAACAGAAAACAACATGTTTACTGAATTAATTTATTATTGAATAAATATTTGTTATATCCCTGTCATTGGATTTCTATTCTAATATAATATACTATGCAATGCATATTAAATTATTAAATCAATTTGTCAAATTTAAATAAAACGAAATATTATTATCAATGTGTAAAAGCTTTTTCAAAAAAAAAAAAAGCCAAAATAAATGTTCAAAAATCAAAAATAAATACAAAGTTCTTAATTACTGATTATTTTATTATTAATTTGCATTATTGCTACATTTTTGATTAAATGAAAAATTCAATAAATTACAATCAAAAAAAAAAAAAAAATGAAATGAAATGATATTTTAATTTGATTGCTACAGTTAAACTAAAAAATTTACAAACAAAACATAAAAAAAAAAAATTAAATTATTAAATTAAATTAAAAAAAAAATTTTAATAAATATTCCATTTTCATTATTTCACTATCATTTAGTTAATTCCAATGTTAAAAATTTTTTCTTCTTTGCATATTTTAATAAATTTATTCAAATAAATAGAATCGAGAAGAAAAAAAAAAAAAAAGAGAGAGAGAGAGAGAGAGAAAGAGAAAGAGAAAAAGAAAATAAAAAAGGTAAAATTAACCTGTAACATTTGCCAAATATTTTCCGGATTAGCAACATTACAAAAATTTCGATCGTATCTGAGTTGAAGCATTAAAACCACTTTGAAATATGCAATAAGACATTGTGCTCGAGCATCTTCCAGCATATAACCATTTTCATTAAGTTGCTTTAATTGATTGCTTAATACTTTTTTCAAAATATAATCAATCGGATTTAAAACAATCAATGCAACATGTTCTGTTGTTGATGCACATTCACCAAATAAACCATCTAAAAATTTAACAAAATTTTTTTTTTTTGAAATTTAAATTCAATTCTGAATTAATTACACATTTCACCAAATCATCTATTTCAAAAAAGAATCAAAAAAATATGTATATATATTCTTCTTTTTTTTTTTTATTTTCAATAATATTTATAATAAAAAAGAAAATTTTTTTTTTGAAATTTAACACCAATTTTAAATTATTATAATTCATTTTGATTTTATCAATTATTTAATTAGAAAATAAATGAAATAGTAAAAGTTGGCTAATAGGTGCTAGCATTTTAATATTATCTAAATTATTATAATTCATTTTGATTTTATCAATTATTTAATTAGAAAATAAATGAAATAGTAAAAGTTGGCTAATAGGTGCTAACATTTTAATATTATCATTGAATTATATATGCATAAATTATATTTTTTATAAATAAAAAAAAAAATTTTTTTTTTTAAATATTAAATGATGAATAAATGTACATAATGTGTACAAATTACCTCTTTTTCCTTTACTTTTTTCACCTGTTAATATGTAAAATTAATAAGTAAAATTTGAATAAAAATTAAAATTACGGTGGTTGCTAAAATAAATTAAAAGATCAAAGTTTTCGCTCTTTTATTTTCCTTTTTTTTTTTAAATTTTTTTTTTTTTTAAATGATAATTGTATAGCAATAATATCTTTTCTTTTTTTTTTTTTAATTTTAATTTATGTAAATAATTTTTGCATAAATTTTTCAATAAATTGTATTAAAAAATTTGTTTTGCGTTAATGTATGACATTTTATCATACATATACTTTTATTAATCTTTGATTTGTTGTTATTTATTTATTTACTTATTGTTATTTACTACTATTTATAGATATTATTATTAATAATATATTTATTATTATTAGCTTTGTTCTTTCTATCATTTTCTAATGATTTGCCAAATCTGAAGCTAAATATAATGTTAAATGATAGTTTAATAATTGTATAATTAGCATTTTGAATTTTTTTTTTTTTTTTAAATTTGTTTTTGTAGAAGACAACAAGAAAATATTTCAAAAATTGTTAATTAATTTTTATATTAAATATGAAAAGAAAATATAAGAAATTAAATATTCCATGAATAATCGTTGATATATTAATGAAATTGGATAAATTTTCTAATTCACTTACCTGTACTTGTAAGAAAAATGTAATATGCACTAAAATACCTGTCCCATCTTTTTTTTTAGTAAAATATTACAGAAAAAAAAGAAGGAACAAAGTTGATGAATGAATTTAAAACAATGTTATTCACACAAAAATTGTTGCTTCTTTAAAATTTGATACTTCTTTTTTTTAAAAATTAAAATCAATTTTAAATTTTATCACTGTCTGATTTTTTTTTTTGCTTTAAATTTATCACAGATGAAAATTTTAATTTTATCACTTAAAATTTTATCACAGATAAAATGAAAAAATGATTAGTAATTGATAAAGAAATGTTTTCAAAAATATTTTAATTTGATAAATTTTGTTTTCATCAATATAATAATACAAAAATTTTTAATCTTTTGCGCTTTTATCAATTAATACATGAATTAAAAAAATTAATTGAATGAATTAAATTAAATTAGATTAAATTAAAGAATCAATATTAGATTACATTTTTAATGAAAATATTAAATTCAATCTTAAGATTCTATGAAATTATGATTTAAAATTTAAAATAAATTGAGCAAATAAATCAAAAACATAATTGTACGCATCTGTTTACCAATGAAATTAAAGTTTTTTTTTTTTTTTCATTTAATTTTTTTCTTTTATAAATTTAAAAAAAAAAAAAAAAAAGAAATAACAAACCTTGCACACAAACTTCGTCTTCTTCACATATCTCACCATACAAAATGCAACCTAAAAAAGAAAATTGATTATTTATTAAAGAAATTATGAAATTAATTAATTAATTAACTAATTAAAGTTAAAATGATTATTAATAGTTTAATTAAGAATTAAATTGGAAATAATTGATATTACGCATTTTTGTCCTTTTTTCATTTCTCTTAACTATAGATACTATATTAAATTTATCAAATTATGCAATCAACAAGAAATACTTTTTAAAATTTTGCAATTTGACAATTTTGCTGAATTGAAAAAGCTCATTTTGCGCTTAAATAATAATTAATTCTTTCATTATTGGCCAATAAAAGACTATCATTCATTTTATTTCCTCTTACTAAGCTACTAAAATTACTTTTACGTTTGCATCGATTATAAAAAAAAAAAAAAAAAATAGAAAATAGCAAAAATTATTATCAACAAAATTAGATTTAACAAAAACATTTATAATATAATCAAAACTGTTTTAATTCATTTCGAATAAATTTATTGCTATCTTAATATTAACAAAAACTTTTAGCATTTAAAATAATCTACAATTCGACAAAACAAAATTCATTTTTAATTAAATTTTAAACTGGAAAGAAAAACAGAAGAATGTTTAAAAGAAGGCGAAAGAAGAAAAAAAGATAAACTAAATTTAGTCATATTAGAAAAAGAGTATAATTTTTCCATTAGTGCAATTTCCAGTTTCCTTTTTTTTTTTTTTTTTTTTTTTTGCATCATACTTATTTATTTCATTTAAAAAAAAAAAAAAAGTCACCAAAAATAATTAGTATTTTAGTTCTTTGCATGATTACGAAAAAGAGAGAAATCATTAATTCTGCGTCAAATATTTTGTAAGAGAATTTAATTAGAGAGCTATTGAATATAAATATTTTGTGATGCTTTGCTAATAAGATGTTAGCTTCAATCTTCAAATCATTTTTATAATTTTTTTTTTTTTTTTTTTTTTTTTTTTAAAAAAAAAAGAGAGCAAATGAGGAGATAAAATGAAATGAAATGAAATGAAAAAAAAAGTAATGCATCTATTCAATAATTAACAATCGAAATGATTAAATACTAACAGTTTAGTACTTATATATTAAATTTATTTGTTTATATGTATTACTATATGATTTACTTATTAGTATTACTTTGAAATAAAAGTTAAATGTAATTTGAAAATTGATTATAAAAACAAAATTAAATATTAAAAGAATTATAATAGTAATTTTTTTTTTTAAGCCTTATTAACTTGTTCAAAATTTTAGTTTTATTATGAATTCCAATTTATGTATGCTAATTTTGCCTTCTTTTCTTCTTCTTATTATTTACCTTCAATTTTTTTTTTTTTTTTTTGGAATTGGAAAATGAGATTAGCTTAGAGATTTATTCATATTAGTAATTAGGGATTGATTTGTAATGAAATAAACATTTAAAAATTATAATTAAACTAGATGATAGCTTAGAATTATCGTATAAATTAAAATGTCACATCAAAAGCAATAATTTTTGTTTCTCATATCTCTCGCCTTAAATAATAATAATAATAAATAAATAAATAAATAAATAAATAATAATAATAATAATAATAATAGTAATAAATAATAATAATAATAATAATAATAATAGTAATAAAGTGGAAATGAAAATTTTTCTGTCAAACAAAGTCGAAAACATTTTGCATTCACATTTGTGTTTGTATTTCTTGAAGTTTTGACTTCAAAATTTTTGAAGTCAATAATTATTTATGTATTTATTTATTTTTAGTAGCAGTTTTGATTTATTTTATGAATGAAATTCGAATGCATAAATATAATTACTTTTTTTTTGAATTAAATATTATTAACTAATTTAGAAATTTTAGCTATTATTATATTATAGTTTTTGAAAGTGTTAGAAAAAAAAAAAGTAAACTTTTTTTAAATGAAATCAGAAATGAAAGAGAATAGTGCAAAAAAAAAAAAAAAAGCTCCTTTTAAATATATTTATTCATTTCTTTACTTACTTACAATATCATTCAGAAATGAAAATTGAAAATTTCTCAAATAAGTTTAAAAGCATTTCTTAATTATGTTAGAAAAAATGTGGGAGAGAGAGAGAGAGAGAAGAAGAAGAAGAAGTAAAAATTTTTGAAGCAATTTATTTAATATAACTAATTTTAATCTGGTTTATAAAGTACATCAGCATAAAAAAGGAATGAACTGAAGCTTATTAAAATCAAAAATGAACACTGTAAAGATAGAAAGATAAACAATAATGTTTTTTTTTTTAAAAAAAAAAATAATATAGATCATTTCATGATTAATTACAAAAATAAAACTTAAAATTTTTTTTTCAATAAAATTATCTAAAAAATATTTATGATATTTGATGATCGGAGTAGAATTTATTTAGAAAAAACAATCAAAATTTCAGTTTTTTTTTTTTATAAAACTTAGGATTGTATTTTTTTAATGTTTAATTGTAGAAATAAATAATATGAATTAATAATCATATTAATCAGTAATTAATCATTAAGCTATATAAATAAGTTACAGTTCTGTCGCATATAATTAATATTTAACAAATTTAACTCTTAATTTAATAGCTTCAATTACTAGATACTAAATAAAATTCATTTTTAATTGTTTAGATAATATAACCATTTACATCAATAATTTCTATCTCTTAAAATAATCAAATCCTAATCTAAATTAATTTAAAAATTTATATTTGTATGCATTTTAATGATATCATCATTTTATTTAGCAGTAGTAATAATAAGTAGTAACATCATATCATTTTTTCATTTATTAATATTTTATTTAAAAAAAAAAAAAAAATTTATTATCAATTATACGATGACTATTTATTGAGTATGTAAATGAAAATGTTTCTAATAATAGAATGATGCATCATATATTATATTTTATTTTTCATAATCTCATTTTAGACTTTCTGAAATATAATTCCAGGAAGTCATCTTATTTGAATAATTTATTGAAAAAATGAAAATACAATTCTGAATAACTAATGAGTTTAGCAGCAATCATTTCTACTTGCTTTCCAAATAGCACCTATTTAATCTGAAAGGAAATAAATAAATAATAATAACTATTCCAGTACTACTAATCATTCTTTATATTGCATTTCATATTTTCTCTCTCAACAATTTTTATAGCTTGTTTATCATTTTATAGTCAAAATGATGAAAGAAATGAATATGTAATATATACATATATTTGTTAATGCAAATGACAATTCATTCATTTAAAATGTACCATTATGGATTTCTTTATATATAACTTTTTTTTTTTTTTTTACCTCTCTCTCTCCCTCTTTCTCTCTCTCTCTTTTTCTTTTCCCCTTTCTTGTTTCCTTTTTGTCTATCTTAAGAAACACTTAAATGCTTTCTTATATAGCATTAATGTGTCACCTAGCAACCATTAACAACTTTTTTTCTTTTAAAAATAAATTCGTCATTTCGAAACTTCAAAAAATAATTCATAAAATAAGTGCAGTATAAAAAAAAAAAAAAAAAAAAAAGAAAAATCAATATTCTAGCGCTACATATAAATGAAATGAAAGAAAAAATAAAAAGTAAGTAATATACCATATGTATAAAAAAATTATAAAATTAATTTATAATATCAAAATTTAACTTTTTTACTTATAACAATTTATAATCTTTTTTTTTTTTTTCATTTCAAAAAGAAAAAAAAAAATTGTAACAAAATTTTTCTATATTTTAGTAAAAAAAAAAAAAAAAAAAAAAACGAATTAAATTAAATTAAATCTTTGAAAAGTATTATTTTTTTTAGAAAAATTTAAAAAAATTTTAAATATTGCGAAAAATTTGTTTAAAAGTATATTGTAAAAATGAATGAAATAAAAGAATTTATAAGCGTTTTGTTGAGTGTTCCTATAATTTTAGCTCAATTATTTTTCATTTAGTAATTAAAAAAAAAAAAAAGTGTAAAATTTGTATTATATTGGCGAATATAGTAGTATTAGCATTGCAATACAGTTTATAACTTTTGAATTTTAATTTTAATTTAGCTCAAACCATTTATGTAATTGCAAATAAGAATTTATGAAGAAAAAAAAAATTTTGTTTATTTTATTCCGTTTTTTTTTTTTTTTTTTTTATTCTGAAATTACTAGCATTTCTTAATCCATCCGTAATGATTGTTACTTTTTATTTTGTTTAATTTCAACATCTATTTGATTCATATATTAATGGATAAGTGATATCAATCTAATATATCAGTAATAAGTCTTATCAATTCGATATATCAGTAATTAAATTTGACATCATTCAAATTCTAACACTTAAGCATACGTTGATTGTGAATGCACATGACGTCAAATGAGAAAATAATAAATCAGAAAAGCTGTGTAGCAAATAATTATTATTGATAAATGAATTTGCATATATTTTAATTATTAATTAAATTCTATAATTCTTATTTTGTTTCAATATTTAATAAATTTTTCATTTTTCTTTTTTTATCTGAAAAGATCTTAGTTTTACAAAATGCTAATAGAAGTATGTGAAAAAGATATGCAAACATGATGTAATTAAACGGAAATTGAAGGAGAGAGAGAGAGAGGGAGAGAGGGAGAGAGAGAGGGAATAAAAAGAGGATGGGATTCTATTTTTTCAATTAAAACACAACTCTCAATCCTACTAAAATCGATTTTAAATTGAATATAATAGAAACAAACCTTAAAAGATTGAAAGGAATAAAGACTGAATGTCATATACATACATACCATATTATATTCCTGTTTGAATTATTATAAAATTCAAAAAAAAAAAAAAAAGCTCACAAATTGAAATTTTTTTCTCTTATTTATTTATTTATTTATTTTTTTTTGAAAACAATGTAGTGAAAATAAGTGTAGTTTAGGTTCATTGAATTATATTTTCTATAATTCAATTCCTGTAAAGTAAATTTCAATTTTTATTCAACTTTTTAGATTATCTAATTCAACTCGATTTATTTATTTATTCCTATACCAGTAAAAACTGATGATCAAAGATAAACTTTTCACATCTATATGAACTTATTCGAAATGATTTCTTTTTTTTTTTCTTTTTTTTTTTTTTTTTTGTATGAAAATATAAAAATGAGATGAAAGTAATTTAAGTGAAATAAATTAGAGAATTGTTGAAAAGCTTTTTGGCTGCTAATCTATTAAGGAAATATTAAAATTTCAGAGGGATTTGTTTCATTTGTTTTCTATTGATTGATTTATTAAAATTTTTCAATATTTTCAATAATATCAGATTACCATAACCTTGTTGTTTCTGTGTGTTCACAATAATTCATAAGTAATATTTATTAAATCACAATGCTTGTTTGTTTGTTTGTTTTTTTGTTTTTTTTTTTCCTTTTTCAAGTCGTTTTCACTTTTATTTATTTATTATCAAAAAATTTTCACTATATTTCATCTTTTCATCAAATATTTTCTCAATTCATATCATTTATTTACACAAAAAAAAAAAAAAAAAAATCACTCCTTTAAAAATAAAATTAATTAATTTATTATTTAAATAATTATTTCTAAAAAACAAAAAAAAAAGAAGAAACATTAATAACCTACCGTTAGCTGATTTGGTATTAACAGTACCAGCTAAGAGAAAGAAAATGATAATAGTAACAGGATGGATAATTTGTTGAATTAAAATGAAAAATGTTTTTGAAGCAGCACCGGAAATTGGCCGATCTGCTAACATACCGTCGTCAACCGCTTGTCGCCATTTGCAAACCTTTCTCAACTAACACAATGTCGCCGTTTCGTTTTTGGGGTGGAGAAGATATCACAGCAAGCCTATCATTCTTGCTAACATAACAACTAAAGCTACTCTAGATGCATGCAATGCATGCATGCATGCATATATACATACATATATATATGCATTTTGTGTTGTTATAGCTTTTTTGCACTATTTAGAATCTGGCTATGTTTAATTTTGGGCTAAAGTCTTCATAGTAGACAACGAGAAAAGAGCAAAAAAAAAAAAAAAAAAAAAAAAAAAAGAGAAAAAAAAAAAAAAAAAAAAACTTTTCATCTCTCTTCAATATTCTTCATTGCCTTATCTTTTTATTATCAAACAAAACCTTTTTCATTCTCAGTTATAGGCACTTGGCTCATTTCTTTCTTATTGATTACAACCCTAGCATCAAACACTTTAGGCTATATACAATTGGCAGTATTTTGTTTATTTGTATGTATGTATATGTATGTGTGTGTATGTGTGTGTGTGTGTGCATGTGTGCATGTGTGCATGTGCACAAATTGAGAAAGTAGATCCGATGAAATAGGTAGATATCACACATACACATACATACACACACCCACATACACAAAGGCTTAATAACTGATATGAAATGACATTTCATGACAGATAAATGAAAGTAATGCTAGGTGAGCATTATTCTAATAAAAATACCATTTAGCTTATATTAATAAATGTGATTGCACATAAAAATATATAACACGCATTCATGCATGCAGCGTAAACTTGAAGCGCTACTAATTAACTTTATGTATTTTATCTATCCATTAAATTTCAATTTACTTTTTTTTTCTTCTTTTTTTTGCTGGAGACTATAAACGAGCATAAATATTTGGATAATTTCAACAGTGATGCAATATCATTTATCCGATATGAAATGAAAATTAGAATAAGAAATGAATAAATGAATAATGAATCGATAGATGATAAAATAGAGTTATATTATTCAGAAATAGGTATAGTTTTTAAACGATCAAAAAATCTCAGTCAATTCTCTTCGCAAAAGATCACAAAAATTCTTCAGTTCTCAGAAAATTTCTTGTAATTAAGCTTTTTCTTTTAAAATTAAATTTCAAATTCCTTTTGTTATTCTTTTTTTTTTTCGAAATCTCCTAACATTATTATTGTAAATGTTCCATTTTCTTTTTAGTGAATGTTTCAGTATAAAATAGCGGTATTGTTAGTTTTGTGGAGATAAATTAAAGGATAATTTTAGATCTATTTTACCGACTTACACAAGTTTAGAAGAATATCACTGGGAATAAATATGAAAATATGACAAAAATGATGATAATTTTGAATTTCACATAGAAAATAGAGAAAGAGCTTAACATCTCTCCAATTTCATCTTCAAGCCAAAATATTCTCCCCACCAACCCTAATATTCAGTATCAAAACTTTTCATTTACGTCTGGGAACTAGTATTTGCACTGTGTCCCGCTGCATGCAGTCTAGACAGCCCATTAAATCCGGCAAAACCGGGTGTCATATCTCGCTTTGCTACGATGATTTGTGCTGTGTTTTGAATTAGGTGGATCATAGCGAAAAATTCTGTCTCATTGCTGATTTATTGACAATTCTAAGCTTAGATTTTTTTTTTTTTTCATCTTTTTTAATCTAAAATTATTTGGACTGATTTATTTGAGTTGTAATAGAGAAGTCTGAACTATAATAAGCAGTGTTTTAGTTGAAAACTAGATAAGAAACAGCTGATGTAATAAAAAGTGATTAATATGACATGCTCTCTTTGACAAAATATCTAATAATTTGTTTTTGACCCTTGTTATGCTAATATTTAAAGATGTATCATTTCATTGAGCAGTCATTGTGATTCATTTCAGTTTTCCTTCCGCACATTACTTTACGAAATTATTTTCTATTTTTATACTAGTTTAGTTGAGCTATGGACTAGACAATAAATTTTATACTGAGAACATTTTATGAAATGCTCATTTCAACGTAGAGGTAAAATGATTGGGAATAATTCATTTTTTTTAAGAAGTATGGAATGTTTCGTAGAATTACTGGATGCACTAGAAGAAGAAAAAATGGCGATTGTCGGTCTGAAAGATCAACAATCCAGCAGCAGATCTCATGGGAATAAGACTTGTTGTAAGCAAGCACGCTATTTAAGGTAATTCTATGAAGATATTTTGATCAGTTTTTTTGATTACGTAAATAATAGTAAAAGAAGTAAAGTTATTTTGATAGTGAGATAATTATTCAGAGATCTTCGCATGAAACTCTTGCAGTTTTTATCAGCAATGATTTTTGTGGTTAAGTGTTCATGAAGACTGTTCATGAGTTTATATTTTCCTCTTATTTTCCAGTTGAGAATTTTTGGTCTTTACTGTTCAACTATTATGGCTTTTTATGGACAGAAAAAAATGGTGAAGTTGGAAATAAACTGAAGAGCAAGAGAGGAGCTGTAATAAATTAACTTTAAGAGGGATCATTTCCATTATAGTATGGCATTAAAATATTACTAGTGGCATGCATAGCCATTTTCTTTTTTTTCTTTTGTGAGATATTTGAAGTGACTTGATTTTGTGCGAATAACTATCATTATATGTCTGCTGTGACTAATTAGCGGACATATTGCCTTTTTAATATTTTTATCATAATTTAGAATTGTTGAAGGACGACGATTGAACAGATATAAGGAAAGGCGTCGACGTCGTGAAAATCAAACAAAAAATCCGATTCTTAAAGAACTTAGTTTCATTTTACAAATTTATATCGATTTCGGATTTACATACCGTATGAGTGACAAAGAAATAAGTAAATTGGTTCGGCAAATGGGTCGTGTATGGGGACTCCAAAAGAAGTTCGTCTTTTTTTTTTGTATGCTGTAAATGGCACCCTAGATAGTTTTGTTAGTTTAAATCGATTACTGTTTGTCTATTAAAGTTGTTGACTAAGGTTTGGTATAATCACGATTTATAGCTTGAGATATGACACTTCTTTCCATGTTAGATTATGTTTTGATAGATTTCCTAGTGCAATGAACTTTCCTTTATACTCACAGCAGTAAATTATGAGATAAAGGAAGTATAATTTGTGTAAGTCAATTCACATCGTAGATTATGTATGTATTATGCTTATAAACGTGTGCTAAAATGCAATTAGTAATGTGAAGCAATTATCTATAAGTCGATTCAATTGTTAAATTTATGAGACTCATAATAGCAGATAGTTTCACTCAATCGATAGATTTGCAGGAGTCCTGGTTTGCAGGTTACACTTCTTTCGCCAGATGAACGCTTTTTGTATGAGGGACGTCAGAAAATGTCTGGTTTCGATCGTTTCAAATGGATTATTTCGGATAAAAGTATAGATGAGGTAAGATCTATATTATGTTTCTAGTTTGTCGAATTGCAGAATTTCGATTCCTAGTCATTGAATAAACTTGTAAAGCTGCAATTAGTTGCTTAGCTTGAGTTGAACTGCAGTGTATTTTTCTAGAAATGAATTTACAATTTTATGATTTCTCTAATTTAGAAGTAGCACTCAGTAATCATTCAACCGTATCATCGCATTGTAATATCATATAGGAAGTACTTTTTTACTTCTGTTGGACCATTTATATGCGTCACATGTCGTGTTCACATTGTTTGGCTATAGCATCTTCATTATAAGTGGAAATTGCAGTTTATTACGAAATGCCCTATGGTGTATTTGAGTCCAGATTCGCAACTTGATGCGTTGCTAGATGTGAGACCTGACGAAATATATATTATTGGTGGTCTTGTGGATGAAACTGGAGTTGGATCGTTGTCATATGATAGAGCAGGTGTCTTTCCATCTTTTGCTTTATAATGGGCATTAATTAAATTACTTTGAGCAGTTCTAAAATTGACTTTATATATAGATAATAGTAGTGTAACTAAAGAGATTAAGATGTAATTAAAGAAATCGCAATAGATACTTTAGCGAAAAAAATGAATTTAAATTCAAAACAAAGTAAAAGATTTTTATAAATTGTTCTGCAGAAGAATTAGGCTTGGATGCTCGACGATTACCAATACAAGAATTTCTTCATCGAAGTGACAGTGGAACATTCAATGTGATGCTTACAATTAATCAAGTTGTTGAAATCCTTGTACGTTACGTCTACTCAAAAAACTGGACTGATGCACTTTCAGTTGTACCTAAAAGAATAGGCTATGAAAGTACAAAATTACCGATTTAATTCACTCTTTTCAATAATTTAATGTGTTTTTTAGAGGTAGTTTTTGAATTATATGTATTTTGTTTTAGAAAATTTACAAACGCTGTATAGTATAGGAAGATATATTTAAAAAGTGAAACAAATTTGTTTATTGTTAATTCACTTTCGTTTTTTAGTTTTGATAAGTACTTTTCATGCTGATAGTTTGTAGTTATTGGTTATTATTACTATTATTCATGTTTTTGTGAAATTAATCTGAAATACAAGTTTATTTCTATTACGGCGTAATGGTTCATTTTCCATCAAATGGTTTTTTTTTTTTCTTTTCTTTTCTTTTCTTTTTTGCTGTTTAAGATTCTTTGTTTCGTTTCTTCGCGGGGAATTTGCTGTATGTGTTAGGTTTTTCTCATAATGCACCTTTTTATATATTTAGGAAGGACATAGTAAGACTATACAGTGGTACATAATATGGACCAGAAAGATGACTTTTTTGGCATTCGTGAAGCCACGGAAACATCCCTTCCACGACATATGGAAGCTGCAATTATGTTACGGTCAAGGACAATGGGGAAAAATCGTCGTGAAGCTTCCAATAAACAAAATGTTGTTTCAGACCAGAGGTCGGCTGATTTTCAATCAAACTTTTGCTCAAATACTTTTCAAATCCATTTTATTTGGAACTGAAACATGAAATGATCAGAGATTCACGTAACTCAAATATGGCAATTGATACCTCTGGCACTGATTACATCGATTCGTTGTATTTCGGTGCTTTTGAGAATACTGAGATTGGTAAAGAAGAAAATAGCAAAGCTGATAATGCTACATCTGATGCATCTGGTATCGACTATGTTGATATGCTGTATTTCGGTGATTTCTTAAACAATCGATCTACACTGGACGTGAATAAAAGGCAAATATTTAATTGTGAGAGTCGACAAAAATGATACGTATTGTCTAAAAGGGCTCAAAAAAATGAAACTGAGACGGAAATGCTTGGACATTATTGGCTTATCTGCGACAAAATCTTCAAAAAAAAAAAAAAGTGCAGCTTTTCTGGAATTGATTACATCAGTTTCCAGTGATTATATTAAAGCCGAAAACAATGTATTCTATTATTATTATATTGAAAACAAATGTTCATTTCGATTTACATTATTACTGACATGTAATTTTATATGATTCAACTTCTCTAAGGTTGAATTTTATAAAGGATATGTTAACGACTATTTCAGAATGCAAGATCTGACTGCTACAAAATTGTCTGTATGAAATCAAAATTGATTATTGAGCAAAACTTTATTGATTTCCTTTTTGTCTATGAAGGAAATATCATTAAATTAAAAGGCGACGTCTTGCTAAATTGAGTGGCTCGTCTTGATTAACTCTTTTGAATTTGGATCTTGACATCAAAGACATTGTCTCTTTTTTCCTCCTAAATTAATGATTCAAGTCTCGACAGATGCTTTTACGCGCTTCAGATTCCTCTGAAGTGTCGTAATTTTACAAACTTCCTTAAAAATATGTTTCTTTTTTTTTTATTTCACATGATCTTTTTTTTTTCTTTTAGATTAGCTGAGCAACATCCAGATGGATCATCAAATGATTTTGTAGAAGATTCCAACGAGGACGGTGACAATGACGGTGACAGGATTGTCCAATCAGTTGTAAGTTTTTATCAATAGAACTACTTTGTTAAATTGTTATTGCAACAATATATTATTGCAAATGATTTTTAAAGTTTTCAATTTTCAGAAAAATAAAAAAAAGGTGCTAACAAATTGGATCATTTATAATTTTGTGTGGTTGATCATTTTCATTTAACTAATTTTGTGTGGTTGTTCATTTTCATTTAACTTTTTATGGAAAATCATCCTTTAAACATTTGCGAGATCAAATTATTAGATAGCTTTCTAGATATTTCTTCTTTTTTTCTGAAGAAAATTTGAATAAAAAGTGTACTATAGGAAGCATTGGATTTAAAGACATACAATGATATGGGTATCAAGAAAATATGGGAAGAAATTGAACCGGTGTGGAAAATGAACAACGATGACCTAGTTAATATAATGACTAATCGGATTATTTATGAAGACGGTTTGATCTAATTTATTACTACATATAATTGTTTATCTGATTATAATATATTAATTTTTTTATATCTTTTCAAATCTAAAGCTGTTTTAAATATTCACTGCTTTTTTTTTCAAAAAATATTTTTGATTTTTGCATGTTTTCAGAGGAACTTATTGCATTCAATAAGCCATATCAAGTAGCTTGTTCAAATGCACCCAGCAATCAAGCTGAATTATTACGCATTCTTCCTCAACTTTCTTCTCGTATAACACCACATATGAATTGCTTGCGAATTGTAAAATCCATCGGGAAATCTGTTACTGGAGTGACATTGTTTGCAAAGTTAGTTTGTTTTCTTTTTCTGTTTTTTTTTTTCTTTTTTTTTTTTTTTGATTTCAATAGATTTGAATAAAAATATCTTTTTCAATTTTCTTAATATAAAAGGAATTATTTTCTGATCATATAACTGCTTTATTTCTTTCACCTTCTTTTGATTTTTAATTATTCCCTTCCTTGTGTCTTTCAAATATGAGTAATATAATATGTTTATTAATTTAATATCAGAATTGAAAAATTAGGGTCAGAAAGAAAAGTGTTTTTAAGTACTAGGAAGTACTGACCAGGAATTTCTGAATTTTTTCGTTCTTTTACAGGAATCAAAATGTTCAGGAAAAAATAAAAACTTTGTACGAAAATGGATTAATAGAGCAGTGTTACCGTGTTATTACAAATATGGCACCCGCACATCAAGAAGCTACTATTAACATTCCTCTTGTCAAATGTAGGAGAAAAAATAACAATTACGTGGTTGATTTTATTTTTATTTTTTTGTTTTTGATTATTATTTTTTTATTTTGCACTGTTAGCAAGAAATATAGACTGAACCATTTGCCTATTCAATCGATCAGTGCTATTATAATTGTTATAATAGATGGAATTGGATGACAGCGAAATTGTTTTATTTTGAAAGGTTTTCTCGAATTGGTTGAAGATAATTTCTACGATGCATAAAAAATATGATGGATTTATATTTTTTAAAAAAATTTTTGAAGTGGCTAGATCTTAAAGTGCAATTTGTAATGTAAAATTTGAATTATTTAATGAATTTCTTGACTGATTTAGATGTTACCATTGAGTGCAAACAGTAGCAATGAAATTACTCCATTTTTGGAAGCAAGTACATATTATCGTGTTCTCAGACATGATCCCAAAAATCATACTAGTTATATGGAGTGTGTCGTCAATTGTGGTACTTTTTTTATCTGTAAATGAATTTCTAAAATTAAATATATATTAAGTTGTTGGTATATTTTTTGGATTGTTACAGTTCAGTTCTTGAAATGTTTTATTCAAGTGGTTTATGTATAACAAGTTTCTTTCCAATATTTTGGTAATTAAAAAAGATGTGTTAATTTTTTTTTTTTGTAACACAGTTTGAAAATTATTTATTTGTTTTCTATATAGTTATTTTCAAATGCTATTAAAACATTAAAAAGCAAAAATTTTAGACGTTCCGGAGCAAATACGCGCTCATCTTGGTATTGGTATTGCATGTCCCATTATTGGTGATATCAAATATAATTATAGTCGTCGAGAAGCAGGACGAGGTATTCCACCACGATTATCCGATAGTGCATTGCGAGATTTAAATATTGCTGGTAATTCAATTTTTCTTTAAGATATCTTTATCGCTGTCATTCACTTTTATTGATAAAGTGTGTGCAAATTTGTGCTTTTTTTTTTTTTTTTTCAGAATTTAGGAAATTTTTACTTTTGTGATAATTTCATTATTTACACATAGCATAGTTAGATAAATAAACATTCAGTTAAATAAATAAATATTAATTCTGAATTAATAGATTATGTACATATTACGATTACGAGAGTACATTCGATTTTCTTCTGAATTTCTAAATTTTATATTTCATTCCTGAATTTCTTGAAAAGATTGTTTTTTCAGTAATCATATTTTCAGGTAATTCATTTCGTCGACTACCAATGTACATACATTTGAAAGAAGTGATAATTCCACTGTCAAAACAAAGCTCAAACAAAATTCATATTTGTGCTCCTATACCGTCTTTTTTCACATATACTTTAAGAAAATTACGATTGTTGAAAAAATAAAATTTATAAACGATATATGTTGTATACTTCTTCTATTTGTAGCATATAACATGGAACTCCATATTGTGCATGTTTTTTTTTTTTCAAAATTAAAAAAAAATTGAAAAATATGAAATCTTTGAAGAGGATTAATTCAACTGTATTTTCTAGATTTTATTATTAGTTTTGGTTAAGCTTTTTTTTGATTTTTATGACCTTATTCAGGAATTACAAATTGTTGCTGGTTAAAGGTTTTATTGGAGAGCAAAGTTTTTAAATGTAAATTATGTGTTTTAATGATAAGAAACTTCCTGAAAAAAAACTATCAAATTTCTAGTAGTTTCAATTATTATTTTACAGTACTCACAAGATCAGCAATTTTGTGAAGTTTACTAACTATTCAACATGTTAGTCAGATAATTTTATTCTATCCAAATAAGTTTTATAATTTTAAGCTAAGTATGTTCAATGAAGTTTAAAATTGGTAATACTTTATTACTTGACTTACGTATGCCGGAGCAGATCTGCTATGCTAAATTGGATGATGAATTACCAGGGAGTAAATCTGTTTTAAAATGGAAAACATCAACTTATTTTTTGTCATCATTACTTTATGCAATTCAGACTGAATATGTAAAACAAGCTTTATTGAATATTCTGAGGAGAAATTACAATATTACAGTTGATAAGGTAAGTTTTCTATTTATTAAATCTAAATTGTGGTACAATAAGAAATGACTAAGATTATTATACATTTCATTTTTTTTCATACATTATTTCAAATTCATAATGTTTTTTCCTTTCAGAGATTTTATCATCTAATAATCATTAGTTAGTTGTTAAAGATGTTGCTCTGATATTGTGAGGTTTTTTTTTTTCTTTTTAAATGTAAATTTAACTATATGTGATTACAAAATTTGATGTTATCAGGGAGTCTTCTAAATAACTTTAGACAGATTTGTACTTCTCAATAGGTGATTTCCTGTAAGAATTAGCTTTACATTTTGAATTTCACTAGAAAAAACTTAATAAATGAATAATAAATTAATCATTTCTATTTAGAATGTATACTTGCTAATTCATTTCAATGAACCATTGATTAGTGAAATTGATTATAAATGGTAAGCATAATTTTGATTTTTGATTAGCTTTTTTGTTCATTTTTTTTTTTTTCTTTTAAATAATTTCATGGATAAAATTGAGATCATTTAATGTGATAAAAGGCAGTTTCTTTTATTAATTATTAATATGAAAGAATAAGTAAATGCTTTAAATATGATATAGAAAAATTGGTATAAAATAGGTATCAAAATGAATGCATAAAAAAGACTTAGAAATATGGGCGCAGAGATAAAAGAATTTTTTGACACTTTACTGTCATTATTTTAGGAACTACAGAATTTGCTCAATTTGTATTAGAGGTTTAGAGCTAGAGAAGTCGTTATGGATTTTGTCTACTTTTGGTGGTGCTGTATCAGCTATGGGTGATTATTATAAGCATTTCGTAAGTTAATCTTTCTTTTTGAATTTGTTTAACTCAATAAATGAAAAATTCTACTTCATCTTCGAAACAATTAAAGCAGTACGAAATTTCCTTAACGAAAGTGTTTATACTATTTCTTTTTGCAAATAATTTAGGAATAAAATGTTTTATTAATTTATTTTTTTATTTTTTTCTAGAAATTGCTACTTTGCATCTAGTTTTTATAGGCTAAAAAAGCAGAACTTATTTCCTACAATCAACTACAACTTGCTATTAGTATTGGTGATCCGGTTCTAATTTCACGCTGTAAATTATATATTTCGATCAGTTTAATGCAAACAAAAAAATATCGTGCAGCTGCGAAAATTATTCGGTAATCTTATTTTTAATTAATTATTCATAGAGGATTACGAATTGCTTAAGCATTATTAAATGAAGCAATTAGACATTTGAGACATGCAATAAAGTTAAGTATTGAAAGATTAGATCTCTTCATTAATCCGATAAGTGATATATTGGTTTAGTTACTTTGCGTTTATGTTGAGATTAATCTATCTGATTAATACGTCTCATCTTGATTACTTCATTTTGCACTAAATGTTGTCATTTATTATTCCTCAATGTCAATCAATTTGCTTTTAATTTGTTTATTGAAAATATTATTATTTATTCTTCTTTTCTAATTTATACCTTTTCAGATTTTTAGGGCACATATTTTGCATGTTTTAAGTGTCTCCTTTTTTTTTTTTTTCTTTTAAATTTGCATATTTTAAATGCCTCAGTTCTATCATTTTCATTTTGCGATTTTGAAAAGATTTTTTGAAATAGAATTAAATTATTTTCAGCCGACAATATAGCATTGCAAAAGCGTTAAAAAATCAATTTCTATTTCATTGCTGTGAAGGAGTATGGATGAAATTGCGTGGTATAATCGAAAACTCTAGACAGATAACCTAAAACATTGCATTACTTTGAACGAGTTATTCAACAAACATTAGTAATTCAAAAATTTGAAGAGTTTTTTTATCTTTAATTTCATGTAATTAATTGTTAACTGTTTTGTTTTAAACAATTTACGATTCTGTTGTGATTGTTTTTCATAAAATTGTACAAAATTTGTTAAATGTTTTCATATTATCTGAAGTCATTATTTATCCTGACTGTTTTCCTATTTCTAAATCAAAACTTTGCCCATTTTAATGGAAGATTTGATTACTTTCACAATTTTGTTCCATATATTCATAAAAATTTACGGTTTAAATATTGATAGAAAGCAAATTTTTAATGAAAATGACATCAGAAGATAATAGTAATGTTCTTAATATGCTAGTTGAAAAGTGAAATTAAATATATTTCATGGTTTATTTGTATTTGAACTTCTTTGTGACTATACCTTCCTTCATCTTTTATAATGTCTAGAATTTAATAAAACTTTTATTGAAAATTTCAATTATAGAGAAAATATTGCATGTGTCATTTATCTTACCATGAAAGCACAGTGTTCTATATTTTTTTTAAGCTAATATACATTAAATTTTGTGTTAATTTTAGATGTTATTTTAAAAATCGCAAAACTTTTCAATTAATATTTTAAGCAATAAGTAACCACTAATAGATTCTATTAATTTCATTATCAGTGAAGCATAATCAATTTCTGCTTTGTATTTTATATTCTATAAAAGCATGCAATCAAATGACTAATGCCAAATGAGGCTTATATGATATCTTAAAAATTCAACCATAAAGTTTTTTATACTGTCAATTGGAATTTGAAATTTTAAATTAAAGTTTGAAGTGGGAAAAGTATGTCACATCCAGTTGGTGTTAAAAATGCTAAATTGATGTTATTTTAAGTAATTTCAATATTTTACAAATGCTTGGATTTTTTTTTTTTTTTGTCTTATCCAGAGATTCTTGAAATAAAAAATGCATGAAAAAATTTAGAGGATTTTTTTTTTAAAAATTAAAAAGGATGATTTGCAGTATTTTATATAGCTAATTATCTCTGATTCCGTTTGTTAACAATGATTTGTAGCTTTTGAATTAGATAAAATATCATTAAACCAAATTCATATAAGATTTGATGCTTAATTGTGTAAACAACTGTAATAAATAATGTAACAATTATTTCAATACTGATTAGATTATCAAATTTTTTTTTTTTTTATTTTGCAAACCATTTGCGCTGCTTCAGCGGAGAAAGGAAGAGGAAAATATTCTGATTAAGAGAGAGTAAATAGAATTGAAAGTATTAAAGTTATAAATTTAAAATAATATCATAAATGATGTGATGCATCAAATGATGGATAGCATAAGTTAGGCAAATTTTTCACAGCAATTAACTTCAAAAGCAATTTCCATTCAATAAATTTTGCAAAATTTGTTCTAACGAATCGGATTTCTGTTATTTTCACTTTACTTTGTAATTTAGTATTTTTTTTAAAAAAAAAAGAAAGGAAATAAAAATCATAAGTTAAAATTTTCTAAAGTGAATACTACAATTTTATTTTTTGCTAAAAAAGTAAGATTTATTTATTTTATTTATTATTTTCATATTTACATTCGTACTACAATTATTTAAATTGTATGTGAAAACTGAATGATAGAGAGATTTCTGAATCAAAATTCAATTTTACATTAACTGTCAATTCCTCTCATGAAATCATAAAAGTAATATGAACAGGAGAAGATAATTAGATCAAATAAGCTTTTTTATTTATTTGTATTTGAAAAGATCATAAGAGCCGACAACTACCATAGTAATTGGCAGTAATCATTACATTTACATTTTTTGATTTTAAATTAAAGTCTATAAAAGCATAAATATCACTAATTGATAAATATTAGTGTTTGTTTGTTTTTTTTTTTTTTTTTCTTCTGAATCATATAGTAAAAAAAATTTGAAAAAATTTTTTTTTTCCTACAACAGAATGTTATGGTATTTTTTCCTACAGCAATTAAGCTTATCAGTGTTATCTATAACGCCGAATTATCAGCAAATGCCAGAAAATGAAAGAAATAACTTAGACAAAGAATTGGTAACATTACAACAGGTTTGTCAAACATTTATAAATTAAATCTTTACTATTTCTTACATTTTTTATATCACTATCAATTACTAATTTAATGATGAATTGATATCGATGATAATGATAACAGTGATTTATCTTTTTGATTAAATTAGTATAATTAAGAAGAGATCAACAAAGATAATAATTTATCATATGAAATCATATCACAATTAATAGTAATTTAAAAATAGTAATAATTATAGCAAAATTATTGCAGATGTAATTATACAATATTATAACAATGTCCTTTTTTTTTTTTTTTTTTTTTTGTAAATTATTGAATTAATTAATTAAACTTATATATTTATTTAGTACATGCATCATTTATATAAGCGATTAGAGCATTTGTTGACAATAACAAATGATATGCAATTGAAAATTTCAAAGCTTCAAGAAAGATTATCAGGTATGAATGCTATAGTTTTATATTTAACAAAAAAATTTCATAGATAAAATGAGATGAATGTGATTTAAAAAGAAAAAAAAAAAAGAAAGAAAGAAAGAAGAAATTATTTAGATGAACAACAAATGAACATAAAGAAAGCAATTGAAATGATTGGCAGAAAGGTAGAAAAAGGTGAAACAGGTAAACAGGGAAACAAAGGTGAGAAAGGTTTACAGGTAAGTATTATTATCTTATCTATTAATTAAATTCTCATGTCTATTTCATTTAGAAATGATTATGTGCTGTTTCAGTTTCAATTTGGTATAAGTGCAATTTTTTGAAGTCAAATAACAATATCTTATTTTTATCTTTTTTTGTTGTTTTTTTTTTTTTTTTTTTTTTTTTTTTTGTGGTTTAAAATTAATTTTTTTTTCTTTCTGAGAGAAGGAAATAAGAAGAATAAATTTGAACTTTTTAAATAAGATTTAGCAGCAAAAAAAAAAAAAAAAAAAAAAAGCTTTACTAGTTAAGTGAACAAATCGATTACTTCAATAACTTTAGGGTAGTCTTGGATTGAAAGGTAATCCTGGTTTACCAGGTATAGCAGGAAAACCTGGTACAAAAGGTATGGAAGGATTACCAGGACTAGTTGGTCATGATGGTATTCCTGGCTCAAAAGGTGAACAAGGAAATCCAGGAATTCAAGGAAAACCAGGTAAAAAAAAAACTATTTGGTACCTATGTTTTTTAAAGAGAATAAAAGAAGTAATAACTCGTATTTTTACTTCTAACCGAAAAAAAAACAGGTCGAATATATATTTATTAAGGAAAAGAAAGACTTTGTAAACAAAATTGTTTTTTAAGGAAATTTAAAAAAAATCTATTAAGATTTTACTTCCGCAAATAATCACTTTGAGAGATTGATTTAAAGTTAAATGAAAAATGATCTATTAAAAACACAAATTTGATATTTGGTTTCAAATATATTTAAGGATTGACTGGATTGCCAGGAGCAAAAGGAAAATCAGGATTGAATGGTTTACCCGGACAACCGGGACGAATTGGTGAACCTGGACTATCCGGATTGCCGGGCTTACAAGGTATAAAAATGTAATTTGAGAAAGCTGAAAAATTTACGTTTTAGGAAAGTATCCTTAAAGTAGTAAACAAACATTTGCAATGATTTGTTGTTAATTTGAATTTTTAGCTGAACATTTTATATGTATAGATTTAATTTAAGAAATTTTGATTTAAAAAATAATGAGTCTGAGAAAAAGTTTGTAATTAAAAGAGATTTCAGGTCCTTCTGGACCAATTGGACCGCTAGGTTTACGAGGATTACCTGGACAAAAAGGTGATATTGGTATGCAAGGATATCCTGGTGCGAAAGGAAACTCAGGACAAGATGGTCTTCCTGGTTTGCCAGTTGAGTAATTCTTTTATAATATCATCCGCTAGGAAGATAAAATTAAAACTTTTTATATTGCATTTAAAGTTTATTTAAATTTAAATTTTAATCGTTCTAAAAATTTCCTCATTAATTAAAACATTTCTAAACAAATATTAGTATTTTTGTACTCATATTTTGGCATTAGAGAAAAAATTTAGAAACATAAATTAATCTTCAAATAAATATAATTTTAATTTTAATTGCAATGAATAATATATTATCTACAATTTCACATTTATTTGATGCATTTTTTTTATTTAATTAAAACATTAAATATAATAATTATTACAGAATTTTTGTGTTTAATTTCTTCCGAATAATTTAGAATGATATTTGAGAAATGCATTTATTCGTGTTTTCGCTCTTTCAATTTTTATTTTAATATAGAAAAATTTACAGGTTGGCTAGTTGACGATCGAGGTTATTGCATTCTATCACTTGGTACCTGTCCACCATCGTTTACCGAGGTGACAACATATGATCGAATTCTTGAAACTTATCATTTTGGTGATTATTCATTAGTGATGCACAAAGGAAAACAGGTGATATGGCATGAACTTAAGGTACATGCATGTTGCAAATAAATTATTTTACTTTTAAAATAATTCAAATCTAATTGATCATTAAAAAATGCTCAACTAATTCTTGCTCTCTTTTCAAAAATTTATAAAGTTATTTTACTTGTATGTGATTTTGTTTTTGTTTAATTTATATAGTTATTTTTTTCTACTTTTTCTACCTTTTAAATTTATAAAATTATTCTACTTGTGTGTGACATTTTTTTCTCGACAACTGATAATGCATGTTAAATGTCAAAAATGATTCCATCTTTATGTCATATGCATGTCTCATTTTTTTAGGCATTATCATATCATATCATATCTGTCAATTAATTATCTTTTTCATATGTCAATCATAAGAATTTCTCTTTAAAAAAATACAATGTTAAAATTTTAATTATTTTTGCTGCAAAAGACATCCAATTTTTTTAGCACAAATGAAAGCAGAATTATTGCAGCTGCAACTTTGTATATTGCATTTAAAGTTTATTTAAATATCAAATAGCATTAGCTATCCTTTAAATTTCATAAAAATTTCTTTATTAACATTAATTAATCTTAAACAGTTAGTAATTTTTGCATCCAAAAATCTGTTGAAAAATTAGAACTGAAATATCAAATATGTTTTATGATTTGTATTTAATTTTTTTATTTTAGTTGTATTTTCAATTAATTATTTAGCAAAAAGTATTTCAAAGTAATATCATGAATTAGAATAAAAAAAAAAAAGAAGTAAATAAATAGATATTAAAATGCTTAAGAAAGGTTGATTAAACAACTGATAAATAGTTTATTAGTATATTAATTTGGAACTTCAATTTTTAATTTTTTTTTTTGTAACAGTTTTTTTTTTTTTTGAAATTTTCTTCTAAAATTTTTTAAAAGTAAAGACTTATGGAGGAGATAGAGATAGGATGAATAATGTGAGCAGAAGATTTAAAGAGTAAAAACTAAATAACAAAACAATCCTTCAAACAGGTGTTTGCTGATTGCGTTTTATTCTTATCCATTTATTTTAATCTATCTTATTTATCCAAGTAGTGAAGGAATTCGCAATTCTTATAAACTTCATAGTATTTTTTTTTTTTCAAAACTTGTTTCAATGTAATAAAATTATAGCTAATTTTTAGATTGTGTAAGTTTAATAATATCTTATTGATATCAAATTGTTATCTATTCAAATATACAATTAAGAAACAAATATACATCAGTAGAGATGTAGTATTTCAGATATTTATAAAAATATAAAAATATCAAATGGAAATTTTATTTATTACGAGAATTTTTAGATTTCTATTAAAAAGAAAAAAAAAAAAACTAAACATAATTCATAAATTAATAATTGAAATGTTAGCTGAGAAAATCAATTAGGATTTTTTCCGAAAAATTGCAGAACTATCGTTTAATGTTTTATTAGTTTAATTCAAAAATAAAATTTCTTGCCTGTAAAATCAAACAATAAAATCAATGCATGCATTTCAAGCAGTTTAAAATTTATCGAAATTAAAATGAAATAACATTACGTAATGAATGTGTGATGGATCACATACAAATTAATAGTTTAATTTATGCGTGGATGAAATGTTTGTAAAAAATTATTACTTAACTGAATAAGTTGGGTGCTTTTTTTGTATTTTAGAAAAAATGAATTCGAAAATATTTGTTATAATCTATGGAATTGTATATTTGGTGAAAGAAGTGGTAATGGAGTTGGATACATCCATGGAGTATAATAATATAGTTAAACAAGTCAATATGCAAAGTACTATCATCAATAATTTGCAAAGAGTATGCAGTATTGTAGTATTAATGAACATTATCAAAATAATAATAGTAATAATAATAATGGAATATTATTATCATTATTATTACTATTATTATTATTACCATCATTGTTATTGTCATTATTATTATTATTATTATTATTATTATTATTATTATTGTTATTATTATTATTATTGTTATTATTATTAATATTATTATTATTAATAATATTATTATTATCATTATCGCTATTATTGTTACTTTACTATTAATTTGTAGTAATAATAAGTAGTGATAATAAAAAAGGCAATATTAGTAATTTTCGAGAGAGAAGAAAGATATTTCCCTAAAAATGGAAAGTGTTGAATCAGGTAAAAGTCAGATCAGGTAAGGTATTATTCTTGGAAGAGATATAGTTAATCTTTTATCTTTTAAGTGTTTGTCTTTTATTGTTTGATTTTTTGCAAAGTTATTTGAAATGAATTCATTGCAGCGTTTGGATAAATTGCTGGAAAAGCAAAGTATGCAAGATGAAATTGTATATCAGAATCAAGGTAAAGATAGAAGTATACGTATAAGTAATACTAGATGACAATTAAAATCTTACAGTTATGATAATTTTGAAATATATTTTCATACAGTTTCATATACATTTTTACCATGAATAATAAATTAAATGTTTGATTTTTTTTTTTCTTTTTTTATAAGGAAAAACCAATTGTAAATGCAAAGCAGGACCAAGAGGAGCACCAGGAGCTGCAGGACCACAAGGTGCACCAGGACCAGAAGGACCATCAGGACCACAAGGACCACCAGGACCAGTAGGACAGCAAGGACCACCAGGTATCATCCAGAAAAAGCATAAATAATTCTACTTTACTTCGTAATCCTGTTATGTTGCATAATACCTGATACATTCCTGATATATTCTTGTATGCAAATCTTGAAGTATAAACCGGTTTTCAGTGATACCGGATGATGATGATACATGCTTGGTACTAGTGGGTAAATGTCCTGCTGGATTCATGTCGAATACAAAATACGAAGAAGTGTTGCAACTCTTACGAATGATAACTGATATATCAATTCATGTATGCTGTAAAAATTTGATTTGATTGTTTTGTGATGTAGAAGAATACTTGTCGAAATTCACTGTAATTTAAAAATGATAAATTTGATTGAAAATATTTGAAGTTTCATACTCCGAACTACTATCAATATTACAAATTTATAATTCAAATAATTAAATTTTGCGAGAATTTTTAAAGATTTATTGTTGGGGAAGTTTTTTTTTTGATTGTTATTTGAAGTTAATCAGATGAATATGTTTATAAATGAGGGAACTGCTGTCATAAATTTTAAAAAAGTGAGAGATTCTGTCACCATAAATTAAAAAAAAAAAAAATGTTACACAAATTAGGAAATTTTGTTCCCTAATTTGTCAATCAATATTATTTAACATTAATTAAGTACTAGTCTATAACGATAATGTTGTAATAATTCCGCAACGTTTTGTAAGTTGTACTTAATATTAATCTATATTAAATCGAATTGGAATTTGTTAATACTGAAAAACTACCCGAACAATGGTGTAAGTAAATCCCTGTGTAATAAGTATTCTCTTACAATAAGTAATAAGTTGACAAGCAATAAAGGAGGTCAACTGAATAAAAAAGCTGATAATCTTGTAAATTACCTACCAAATGTAACTTACAATGAGTGGAAAGAGAGATTAGTTAAATAAAAAAGCTAACAACTTTGTAAACAATTAAATTTCAACAATTAATTGGAAGCAATTTTCAATAGTTATTCTTTTGTTAACAAATTATAACATTTTAAACCACGCAAATAATCTACAATTGGAAGATAAATATTGGATAATCTACAATTAGAAGATAAATATTGGATAAATTAATTTCTTACTTGTGATATAAAATTGAAATATTTGTCTAATTCTAATAAAACAATCGTTAGTCTTATGGACTTAAAATTTATTTCCAAATCGTACCAATTTTTTTTTTTTTTTTTCAACAACTAAAACCTGTCAGTTTCATTCATCTAACCCAAAAAAAGATATCATAGAATGATAATTCTAAAATGGATTAGATAAAAATGTCAATTATTTGAATAATTAATATTTGATCTAGCATTATCGGATTATAATAGTAGTGAATAACAATTCTTTTACCTTCAATTGTAATTTCTATTACTGATAACTAGTTAAGACCGCGTGATATGAGAGAAGTCGAAGGTTTTCCCCTTTTTTTTTCACAGGATAATTTAAGAGAAGTCGAGAGTCGAGAGTCTTTTAAAGAGTTGTATAACGGAAGTTTCAAAAATGAATTTTCCAGGCTATTCTTTCCTACCAATGCTCCCAACTCTACATCACAACTTGTCCTCATGCATAAATATTGTCATAATAATTTAACCACATCATTGCTCAAATTCAGATACATCAATGTGCGCATATGTCGTTATCCTTGCTCAAATCGACATATATCAGTATGCGCATATGTCGTTATCCTTGCTCAAATCGACATATATCAGTATGCGCATATGTCGTTATCCTTGCTCAAATCGACATATATCAGTATGCGCATATGTCGTTATCCTTGCTCAAATCGACATATATCAGTATGCGCATATGTCGTTATCCTTTCTCAAATTGACATACATTAATGTGCGCATATGTCGTCTTCGTGTATGTTTGTATGTTAGTAGTGCAATGTATTTCATTATTTCATGCACTCATTCATACTCTTTCAATCGTTCATTGGTCGATGATAATGCGCATTTTGTCCATTGTACTTTTCTCTAAGTTTAAATTAGCGCAAAGAAATTGCCTGAGGTTAAGGTAACACGTAAGCTTGGAAGATTTACCCATTCATTTGGTTCTTCCCGATGGGTGTGTTCCTGAACTGTGCGGAATTATTGATTGCGGGTAGAATGGAGATATGGGCAAGAATTCATTTATATCCATTGATCATTTATTTTCTCATTCTCCACTGTAAACATTGTTCCATTGTAGAATTGGAGACATTCTAGAAAAATTATTTTCAAGAATTAAAAAAAAATTTTTTGCTTTTGTTGGAAATTTGTATTTTAAAAATTAAAATTTGAATAAGATTAGTTGGAATTTCTGTATTTGACTAATTTTTTTTTTGGATAAATTTGATCAGTATATATCAAAAATATAAATGAAATAATTCGTTTTATAATGGAAATTGAATGTGATATTCTGAGATATATAACGTGAAAAGTGATAAATAGTAAAAAGTAAGTAAAGTATGGAAATGAAAGGTTTACTTTTTAGATTTGCTTTTTACGTGAATCAAATTTTTGCATATTTGCACATTTATTTTTAAGTGAAAATTTTCTTTTTTGAGTTTTTGCTTTTGGAAGAATAAATGAATGAGAACGCATATATCACGTTCATGGAGCTAATTTGAAATGCTTTCCGATGATTTGCATGAGAAGTTGCAGAATATCAAATGTGAAGAAGATTTACCGAATGCTATTATAGTCACCAATGTACCATCTGAGGTTTCTTTTTCTTTTCTTTATTATCTGCTTTAAATTTGAAATTTCTATCATTTTTTTTTTTTTTTTTTAAATATTTCCTCTTTTTTTTTTTTAACGTCAAAATAATTGATTGGAAGATTGTTTGGAAAAAATGAATGATAGACGAAGGAAAGTATTAGCCAACTAATGAAAGTTTCTAGAACTAATAACATACACTGATCAGATTTGTTTAATAATAGGTCAAAATTGTTTAATCATTTGATAATGTTGTTTATACTCTAATAAGAATGCATGTCTGTATGTTTGGTATTAATTTACTGTCTTTATTACTGTTTTATATGGCAATCATTCATTGATTTTCATCCTTTGTATGTCACAAGATAATAGTTGATTATTGATAACTCGAAAATACTTTTTCAGGTATTTTCGATTGATCAACAGAAAGCCAATTTTTCGAATCTATTCACGCAGATTGAATCTGGCTGTCACTTCGATTTTCTGCGAAGTTTTCGACGGGTTCGGATTACTTTCGAAAAGCCGGAAAGTGCAACGGCTGCAAAGTTGCTTACGCAACATTTATCATTCAATGGAACCATTTTAAAATCATTTTTCGCTCAGGTATAAATTTTGTTTGATTCTTCAATGAACCATTAGATGCTACATTATATTATATTTCCTTTTAATTACATAATAAGACAAACAGCAATAAAGACTTGTTAAAAATAAATCAGTCATCGAAACCTTTTGTTTAGTTAAATTAACCTCTAGTTTTTTGCCTTCTAGCTTCTAGCTTACACTACAGGGAAATATCTGCTTAACTTTTAAAAATATTAGTAAAGTTGTTACTCCTAAATTTCTATGACAGATGTTCAGTCAGTTAACTTTTTTTGAAGATTTGTTTCCGTTTTTCATTCTTTGTAATAAAGCACTTAATACCTTTTATAGTTACAGCCTTCAAATTCTGACAAATTTTGCATACATTAGTTTAGCAAACATTGATATAATCCATGAATCAATTTGCGAATTTTTGGTATCTATTTGAATTTTTACAGAGAATTCGATTGCGGGATGCAGGTGATGACGGGTTATTGAAATTGCCACCGCTGGAAAAACAGTTCTTGATCTCACCACCAGCTTCACCACCAGTTGGTTGGGAACAAAGTCAAGAGATGGCCCCGGTTGTGTGCAATTTTGATTTGATGGCAAAACTTGCTGCGCTTACTGTTGATGACACGTTCGAGGCTCGTCTTTTTTTCCTTTTATTGATTTCTATTACCAGTGATTAATCCATCCAAAAATTTGAATTCAGAATGTAAAAATTAATGAAATTATTTTTAGGTGTATGAAGGTGACGAACATAAACCGAAAATTGTGATACATCCAGCGAACGAGGAAGGAAGCAATTTTATGCCTGCTCAGTCGATGATGCCGAAAACCCCGCGACCACCAAACACACCTCGATCTGTACGGAAAGAATACACCTGAATCGGTTCCACTTAATATATTTATTGTAAATTTAATATTTATATTTATTATGTGACAATAGATTAACAACAAATACAGATGACAAATCACGTTTCAAAATATTTCCACTTTTGCATCTCCGAGGACATTAATTTTCAATGGAAGATATATTTTCTGGCTTTGTATGCTAACTTTGTATGCTGAATAGAACTTCCGAGATACTCATACTTTCAGCATACTAAAAATCAATTATTGAATCTAATTTTCCTACAGAGACTCGGATAACCTAGGTTGTCGGCTTTTTTTTTTTTGAGATAAGAGAATATGTTACACATCAGTACTCTCCATTCATTGTTCTCTCTCACTTCTAAGATGCAGAAATGTATTTAAGATTAATTTCTTTGCACAAAAAAAATAAACAAAACAATTTATAAAGCAAGTAGCAATATAAGCGCGATCAATATTAGAGTACTTTTTACAATCTAATTTTAATCTGGGAAATAAAAAAAGGAAGGGATTTTATTTATTTTTAGCAAATTCCGTTTGATTCACTGAGCTAAGAATATATTTTAATAAAATAATACTAATGACAGAAACAGTTTGAACAAAATGATAGCTAACACTTTATTGGAATTTTTATTTTTAATCTGTATGAAAAATTAGCAGTGTTTTTTCGCTATCTATTATGTAAGTGTGATGTTACTGGTGAGATGAAGGATATGTTGCACTTATAAATAAAATATGGGATTCAATTAAAAGTTCCATCATGCTATTATCCGTAAGCATTTTTTAAAAAAATAAAAAGTGAATTATTCTTATTCCTCTCTCTTTCTCTCTCGCTAATATAATTTCTATCATGCACAAAAAATTTAAGTGGAATAGATAGAAGGAGACTTGGAATAGTTTATAGTATATGTAACACGTAAATATTGAATGAAATTCTTAATAATCAATTCCCAGCTTGTTCGATTCTTACTATAAAGATTAAGATAAATAGCTGTTAATATTAGCAAACTACCCCATAAATATTGCATAACATATGGTTTTGAAAAAAACAGGAATGATAGAGTAATTGTAACTGCTTTTCGAATAGTTGTTACAGTAACAGCAGTAAGTGCTCCTTGGGTACGTACTAAGCTTAGTACTGCATTAAGACCAAGATAGCCAGATATGGAAAATAGTGTAACGTAACCATAAGTTTGTAATGGATGCTGAAAAATTCAATACTAATATTTGTTATGTTAAGGAGAATCATCCTAAAAAAAATTATGAAAAAAAAAAAAGGCATACGAACGGTCATTACATTTACTGTATTTTAACCAAAATAAAAAAATACTATACTGTACTAGCTTTTACTCCAGAAAAGTTTATATTTTCATGTGTGCTTATCTAAATTCATTAAATATGTCCATCAAAAAATGTGATGTTAGTAATATTATATATTTATATGTAAATTATATATTATTATTTTATAATTCTCAAATATTGTAACGAATATATGAAATATGTTCTGCTCGTTGGCAACTTTTAAGTTGGACTAACATTTTATCACTAATAGTGTCTTAAAAAAAAATAAGCTAAGGCTTATCAGATTCTATTTTTGAGAAAAAAATGATGTCAATGCATTTACACCATCATATAAAATATGATGCAAATTTAACTTTTTAAAAATAGCATGACATTTCTCATTTCAAATTTAGAAATGAAATGAAAAGATGCTAGAAAAAAAAAATAATAATAATAACCGTAAAGAAGAAGTAAAACCCGTCCAAAAAATTGCCATAAATCATTAATCCCAGCATAATATAGATAAATCCAATAGAATACGAATACAGAATCTGAAAAAAATCAATCTAATTTTGAAATTTCTTCCAGATCCCATATTTTAAAAGATATCTCAATGGTTATGAAGTAATGAGAGAAATTTTTTAATACAAACTACCATAGACTTATACTTTTCTAATTTATCATCCATTCAGAGTTTAACTTACAAATTTGCTTAATGACAATGCTTACTGTTAGCATATCAGCATGTTTCATTATAGCTGAATTATATTTTGAATCAAGCATCAATTTTATCCATAGCATTGTGGTAGGAACAGTGATTGAATAGTCATGTTTGAAATGTTAAGTTTATTGATGATCCGAAATGAACAGTACATGACATTACCTTTCCGGTTTTGTTTTGAACTTTCGGAATAATATTTTTCAATGTTTTAACATTGCTCAAGAGACTATGTCTATTTTTATGAGAAATAATAAATTGCAAGCAAAATTAAAGACTAACTAACCATTTCATTATTACTAGCTTTATAAGTATGCAATGATTTCTCTTGAATATTACCAATTATGGCATCAAAAAGTAAAGCAATTGAAATCATCGTATATCCAAAAGGATTAAACATTGGAGATACGACACTATCACCTAAGATAAAAATAATAAGACCAAAGCTCATCATACATGCTGCTGTAAAATCGATGCATGAGTATTGCTTCCCTGGAAAAACAACTTTTATATATACTTAATCACAAGGTAATATTCACTTTTGTCATTCATAAATCAATTTGTTATTATTAACATTCTTATATATGTGTATTTAACAAAAAAAAAAAAAAAAAACCAAATCAACCAATTCATCTAAAAATTTAAATTCAAAAAAGGTTTTACCTTGAATAATAATTCCACCAATTAAAACAGGTATCAATTTGCAACATTTGAAAATTACTTGTGTCGGATAGTTTAAATAACCAACTGCTACATTCGAGAAACCCATCGTACCAACCGTAAATGTTGCTATTTGTAAGTAAATATATATGGGAATTTTTCTTCTTCTGAAACAGTTATATTCTAATTAATTGTTTCTATGCTTTTTTTTTTTTTTTTTTTTCTTCTTTATTTAATACTTATAACGTAATGTTTTATATTTAAAACTGTTTTCTCTGAAAATTATGCAAACATAAAAATATTAGATGCTATTTAGTTTTTAATAAAAAAAAAAAAAGTAGCATGTATAACCTCAAACATACAAGAAAAAAAAATGAAATTTTAATTAAACTGGAAATTCATTTTTTGCTTTCTCTAAGCTCTTTCTAATTCTGACTAAAGTTTTATAAAATAAGTTCATCAGGAATGATCTCTAATGTAATTCTTTCTTGAAATAATCATTAAATAGAGCATAAATAAGAGAAATATCATAGTTTACCGTTCATTTATTACAGCGCAATAAATACTTTCCAATTGCGCCATTATGGAATAGATCAAAAATTGAATCAATGTTAAATGCCATCCATATAATTCCATACCATCCACTTTAAACATTAATTCCTAAAAAAAAAAAAAAAAAATATGGATGTTGAAAGATTTTTTCAATAAATTCAAGAATACGAAAGATTTAGATAACAAACCTGAAGAAAACCATAGATTATATAAAAAACGAATACCGCACAACAAAGTATAATAAATTGTAATCTTTTTGATCTGAAATAAGCATATTATTGTTTTCTACTAATAAAATAATTGAAAAATGGAAATAGAAAGAAAAAAAAAAAAGAGCACTCATTTAATCAAAAAATAATATTAATTTCTAACAATAACCTAAAAGTGATGACAGTTCCAAGTAGAGTAATTTCTTCTGCATTTGATACCAATGCTTCTGGCTGAGAAATATCACTGATAGTAAAAGGTAGCAATTGTCGTGATGTCATGGAATAAATCGATGAATGCATCCAAAAAAGCTCATTCACTACAAATCAAACATGAAAATTATATTATTTCAATTAGTTTGAAGAATTGAAATTCAAAACATAAAAACTCAAAAAGGAAATTGCACTTAATTATAAGTTTTTTCTTTTTTTAACAATAATTTTAAAAAAATGGAAAGTTATTTCTAGTTTTTGCTATTCCTACTTCTTTCTCTATTATCTTTTCTTTTTTTTTTTTTGAAAGTATAAAACTGAACATCAATAAATCATAGCAAGAATCAAAATCATAAAGGAAATTATTAGGAAGAGTAAGATGATGGATGATCTCAATTTGATAGGTAATACAATTCAAAGATTTTAAACGATATCTTATGTTACAATTTTTGCTAAAACTTAGTGGAAAACAACTTAACTTTTCATTAAACGTAAAATTTTCTTTCATCTATGAAATTCAACAGTATTTATAGGAGGAATCAAAAAATCATAAATTAAATCACTGAGAATTATCAGAAAAATATTTGAATCATTTTATTAACTATTTGTACAAAATATGAAAAACATTTAGAGATGATCAAAATAAATTTATAGAATAGAAAAAGCTCAAATATACTAGTCCCATTTAAAACAAAAACAAAAAGTTTAAAAAGAAAAAGCAAAATTTTAAATTTAACAAATTACTAAAAAGTCAAAAAACAGGAAACAGAAAGAACAATAGATTGTACTTTCATCTAATAAAAGACTGAAGGATGACAAAAATGTTTTTGAATTAAAAATTCTATCTTTATTTTAGATATACTATTGGCTTTTTATTCTGATTCATCATTTTTTTCCTCACTTGAAATTTGTTCTTTTGATAAATTCAACAAATTATAGAAGAAAACTAATCCAATGAACAGAAATGAAAAAAATATTAAATATGTATTTATTCATTTATATCGATTACAATAAAATAGTAGCATTGAAGAATAAAATAATATTAAAGTAATCAACTTAGCAACATTTTATTCTTCCACCATTCTTTATTTTATTCGTATGATCAGTAAAGTGCCATCTACAGCGCTTAAAAAGCAGCTAAAAAATAATACTTATTATATGCAAATATTTTCGGAACAGGTAGAAATTTATACTTCTAATTATGACAAATTAGCAATATGCCATTTGTAATTTATGCATTAATATAAAATTACAGAGATTAGTAAAAGTAAAATAATGATAATAAAACGATAATAATAATTACAATTACAGCAATGATTACAATAATGGGCAAATAAAAATTTTTTTTTTTTTTAAGTATAATATGAAAGACAACTTATTCTAGCTAATTTTATCTATAACTGAAGAAAACGATCTAGAATTTAGTCCGATCTCGTTTCTTTATATATATATATATATATATATATATATATATATATATATATATATATATATCCTAAAGTAGGATGCTAATAGGTGAACTTACAATACAGATATTTTAGATGAAAACATCTGCATGAAGGATTAGATCGCTTTTTCAGGAAACAATTGAAATACGAAAACAATATGAAATACAGTTATTAATCTTAATTAGTTTCTTCCAATATAATCTATCTCTGTATTATGAAAATTTTCTCTTATCGCTTATCAGATATCGACAATTTGCCTAAAAAGTTGTTCTTATTAAACTTCTAAACTTTAGTTGCTTTCTGCTATTCCAGAATTTTATAAAATCACAGAAAAAAAAAAAATATATATATACAAATATTGGATTCGAAGGAATCAGGTAATCTTAATACTGTCATAGCTCACATGCTTGAAATATAGAGAAATTTAATAATAATAACAACGGAAAAAAAATTTTTAGCTTAGTAAAATCTATCTTTGTGTTCAGGTTTTCTTATTAAACAGTCAAATTCAATAAAAAAAAATGAAGATAATTTCTTTAACGCTATGCAAACAAACTACAACAGTAAACCTAGCATTGTTATTATACTAATTTCAACAAATTTTATAGATAATAGTAAAAAACAAAACAAAAAAAAAAAAAAGCAAAAAAAAAGATACTTGAAAAGAATGAAAATCTAATTCTATTGCAAATTCGAATGAGTAAATGCATGATCAAAGAAGTTGCCGAGTTGCACTATATGCACAGGTAGCTTTAATCATTTCTTCGGAGATTCCACCACGCCATATACCGCCAATAATTTTGCAATGCTGTCGTTGTACTGCCAGAAATGATAATTGTCGTAAGGTTGCTGGCTCAAGCGGGACAAATGCTACACCGGTGGAACATATGAATGCAAATTGCGTTTTTGAACAGACCTGTGAAAATTTTATTCTCATAAATTCTGACCATTATAAGCCTATCTTTAGAATTTACGCAAGCCTACACTCGATTAGTAATTATTGTGAACATGAATTCAATATAATTATTCGAAAAGAAACTTAATCACATTTCAATTCAGTTAAAAGCATATTTTAAGTCAGTGAAATCATTTTCTTACGCCAACAACAACGGTATATAAAGCATTCACTTAGTAAAAAAAAAAAAAAAAAGATAATACTAAAGTATTAGATTATAAGTAGCTATACCCCATAGAATCGTAATTGAATATGCATGGGAAGACGATATTTACCCGCTGGTATTACTCGATAAACCTTTCGTTCATCATCAAATATAATATGATAGAAGGAATGATATGCTTGACGAAAAATCTGCAAAATAAAGAAAAATTATTCTTTTCTTGCAGAAATTTAAAGAATAACAATTAAAAGTAAAAGAAATATGAAGTGAAGAATTTTTTTACCCATCACTTTCAAACTATAGATCATATGATGCTTTTGTTGTACTCAATACTGCATCGCTAACTCTCTCTTTTCGATCTTTTTTTCACCTCCGTTCTATTCTGTTTCACCAGCGTAAACTCCGATCCAAATTTCCTAGCATATCATAAATTATGTGTTATAAAAAAGAATAAAATTGTAAATTAGTTTAAAAAAAAATAAACAAAACAAACCTTTGCAATGCAAATATCATCACTGACGTAAAAAGTAAGTGGTGATTCAATAGCTCCCATTCGATGCACTGTTCGTCCGTATGTTTCACTGATGCCTCTAACACGTAATAAATTCAACTATAAACATATAAAATTTATTTTCATTAGCAATTCAAATTTAATAACAGTTTTTAGAAGAATGCTAAATCAAAGCTGCTAAAAATTTTCGTATCAAATCAATAAGTGACATTATTACAGGTATCACTAGAAAATCTATACGAATTTATGTTCAGTATCTCACTAAACATAAGTTTTACTCTTTTAAAAATGTTCAAAAGCAAAAAAAAAAAAAAAAAAAAAAAACTAACATCAGTAGGTGAATCTGATGATGGTGGATAGGTATTCCAGCAATTATTTTCTCCATCATAAACAATAATATCGTGATTATCTTGTAGTTTAAACACTCTTCTTCTATCACCATCTAAAACAATCGGGAAACGACTACATCTTTCCTCATTTTCATTTGCAGCAATTGTTTCACTGATAATTACAAATGTCATACTATCCTGAAACAAAGAATATTTAGCAAATTGCATTTTCTAATAATTTAAATAACTTAAAGTTAAACTAAAAGAAGAAGAAAAAAAGAAACCTTAAGAAGTATTATTTTCCAAAACGGAATTGGTCCCATTACAACGCTTCTTTCATACATATATAATTGATGTTTTCCACAGCCAAGTACAATATTCTCTAAAAAAACCTTATTCTCGAATTCATCACCAGATACTTCATCCAAATTAAATACATCACATGCACCGCTATCCATATATATTCGTAACATTGATATTCGTGGTACATCACAATCCTAAAAAAAAATAATAATCAAATGGTTAATAAATGCATATAAATCAAACTATTTAACCTATTATAATATATATGACAGTTATATTCTATAAATCAGTCGAAAAAAACTATTTTAAAACATTATATGTGTTTAGAAATTTTTAGAATTTTTTTTTTTTATACCACATTTTTTTGGCACTTCTTAAATTTACCTATTCAACATTAGCTATTTCTAAATTATTTCCCAATTTATGTGATTATCTAACTTTTGCTTTCTTTATTTATTTGAAAATAAAAAAAAAAATTTTTCCCGTTTTACACTCATCTCTATTTATCATCCTAGTGCTGAATCTGAATCCTTTCATCAAAATTCTATAATAAAAAAAAAAAAAATGTATCATAAATAAACTTACGAATAATGCGACAATAAGAGCATAGATATATGGCTCATCAGGTGATACAGTGTAAAAAGAATAAAAAAGTTGAATAAGCGGAAAATCAAATAATTTTGACCATGAATTAGGTATAAATGAATGTATGGACCATATTTGAATACGATCAGTACAAAATGGTGAAACGTACAATTGATGACCCCAAAAACCAATTTTCATAAGTCGATAATTTCGTAGCTCAGGAATAATTCCAAAAATACGCATTATATAAATGAATAATGCCTGATTTAACACTTAAAATCTGAAATTTAAAAATTCACCAAAAAAAAAGTTGTTATTTTTCAAAAAATTACAAATATCATTTATTGGAAAATATGAAAGTAATATAAGCAAAAAGAAAACGATCGATAATAAATAAAAAAAAAAAAAAAAAAAGTAAGGAATAATCTTTTTGTCTTCGATTCTCTTTTTCAAAGTTTATCAAATGTTTTCATTTTAAACAACAGAACAGCTGAGCAAAATGTTAAAAAACAACAATTAAAAAAAAAATTAAATAAATAAAACAGAAAAGCAAACCTGATAATACTGCTAATGATAACATATTGCAGTTGAAAGTGATGATGCATTGAGGATAAATAGCAAAAACCAACAATCAATCCTCTAAATTGTTTATCATTTTGTTATATTGCATAAAAAAAAAAAAAAAAAGAAAAGAAAAAAACATAAATCAATATGTGAAATGAATGAATGAATCAATCAATCAATCAGACAAATTATTCATCCAATTAAATGAATATTATTCCATCTGATCAATAATTTTATCATTTACACTGTTTCATAATAAAACATATGGTTAAATTGAAATATTGAAGAAGAGAACGAGAATATTCCAAAAAAAAAAAAAGAATAATAAAAGTATTTGTATCTATTCTAAATTATAATAAACCAATTATAATTTTGAATTTGGTTTATTAATATTTGATGTAAAAGTAATAATATTCTAATATATTTGAACTGTTTAATATTATTTGTTTGATTTGTTTCTTTCTTTTACCTTTTTATTTGAATACAATTATTAATTGAAGAAATTGATTTACAAAGGTAATGTGTATTACCTTCGTAAATCAATAAATAACATTAAATAGTTCAAATATATTAGAATATTATTAATACCTTAAAATTTTATGCAAAAAATCAAGTGTTAATCATTATTAATTTTCAAGTATAGCTCCAAATAAAATGGAAATTGATCAGAGAATGAATTATAAGAAATGAATGATTGAATTACTCTAACGAATGATTTCTCTCTAATGATTGTGAGAGTTGGAAAACTTTCATTTCTCTCCTCTTTTTCATCTTCACCTTTACAAATTTTAGCATTGATTTGAATCCTTTGCACCTCTTACAGGTAAGCTTTTCCTGTGTTTCACTCTCCAGTACTAAAAATTTTATATTTATAACTACTATCATTCCTGAAATCATCCTCTATACAATAATTTTGCCTAATTTATGCATTTTATACTATTTAAAGTCAACCATGCAAGACTAACATAAAACAATGCCATTTTTTTTTTTGGTTTAGTTTAATATTTTATCTTTTCTTTGCTAATCTATCTTTTCGTTTTACATCTGAATAGTACACTTTAGTCTCAGAAAAAAAAAAAAAGAAAAAAAGAAAAGAAAAGTATCACGAAACTATGATAAAGAGAACTATTGATAAATCTTGCCTGGAGGCTTCATAGTTAAAAGTTAATTGTCTAAGCGAAATAAAAGCTGGCATTTTGACCAATCGAAAATTTTAACAGTTTTATCAAAAATCTATATTGAATAATCATTTACGCCTCTCTTCCTTGTTATTTAGCTAATCAACATGTATTTAGATATTAGCTGAAATATTTCATATATAAGTGCAGTGTAGTTTCACAGGTGGATTGATTTTTTAAAAATGAATACTCTATGTATAATCCATTTCGAGCGTAATTCGCTGCATTATTTCAAAGAAAGCTAACCTTATATCTAGATATTTCAAAGTAATAAAATTGAATAATTCGACATTCGTTGATGATATTCAATCCTCGTGATTAGTAATTATTTAAATCAGTTACGATGTACGTGAACAGTATTCAGATATTACGCTTGCTTAAATAATTGGATTTCAAATTTAAAAATATCTCTAAGCAAGAACTTTTGGAACCAGACTTTTCCAGTAGCAAAATATAGAAATAGCTTCGAATAATTGAAATTAGGAGCACAGTGTCAAAGACATTAATGAAACTAATATTCATTTCGAGTTATGTACATTAAAGCATAATTAAACTATCACAGAGCACAAAACAACGAGACAACATAGTTGCACAATAGTAAAAGAACTTCCGCGTACTTTTTTTTTTTTTTTTTTCTAAATCAATTGTTTTCATTCCCACATAAATTAAAGGTTTTCTTCGAGTTAACAAAAAAAAAAAAAAAGAAAGCTCGAGGGACTTAATTGAATCTAATCTATCATATAATTCTTATACATTAATGTCTCATTTTTTTCAATTCCCTTCCCCTCTCACAAGAAAAGAGAATTCTTTAAAGCTTCATAAATAAAACTGATCAGTTCATCATCTCAAACGTAAATACCAACCCAATAATCACAAACCAAGCACATATGTGCTTTATTTGTAAAAATTCAAAACAACGTGATCCATTCATCCAAACTGATTTAATTCAGTAACACATTCAGACGTGCCGCATCTCTTTCGCTGCAAATCACTTCACATATCATACTATATGCGACAATTTTAGTGGCAATTTCTTCATTAAATAAAATTAATTTCATGTATACTTTCCAAAAGAAGCTCTAATCTGCAATAAAATACTCGAACAATGTTAAGTAAAAGAAATTAAACGATTGAGGAAGATAAATTAACATACCGCTTGCTAGATTTTACACGTAGCTTTGAAGAGCGCACATCATTTGAAGGCATATGCGCTACTTGATCCTGATAGGAGAGGAACAAATCCAGCATTTGAGAGTTTGGAGGCTATAAGTGTAAACTAAAGGTATATAATTATAAAACTGTAGTCTTTAATTATAAGACTATAATGCTGCTTATTGCTTGAAAATATTAAAATCCATTCAAAAGACCTAAATAATACAGTAGTCAATTAACTGTTATTTTATCTTTAAAATATATAGCGCAAGACATTGAAATCTTTTTTAATTATTTTTGACGAAATAATTCGAGTTGCAGAAAAATTTAACTATTTCATAATAGTGTAAGTAATCATATCCTTAGTCTATTTGTTAGTTTAATTGTCGATGTCTAAGTGTTACTGAAACATCAAACAAAGTGTAAACCTTGTATAGTGGTTGTTGTGGTGGGTTACGTGCTCGCATATTATTTCCAGTATAAGCAATGCATTTTAATTGCCAATCACCTACTTCCTCATTCCATCGAACATAACGTTCAATGAGTTCTAAGAAATCCGGTGGTATATAGTTTTCTGCAAAAAAAAAAAAAAAATTTATCCAATAGTTCCATTATCGATAGTACTATTGCAAATGATCTATAGTAAAACGATGAAAATAAGCCAAGAAAAGAACAAAAGACTGATAACAGATTGATAACACTAGATGAAACGTTCTAAAAGTTTATATACAAGAAAGGCAATGTCAGGTTAATGTTCATTAAGTTATCTGCAAGAATTTGCAGCTACTTTACAATTCCACAATTCTTTATACGCACTGATCTCTTGTGTTTAGGTGATTTCATAACAATGTAATTCTTTTTGATGAGAACAAAATATAGGAAAACTCGTTGCTTTCTTTATTCCTGCTAAAAGATTTGCCATCTTAATCAATTTCATTCAATACGAATTAATTAGTATATATATATACTATTTACCAATAATGAGCAGTTGTAGAAGAAGTTCGCTGCGAAGTTGACGAACACAATCCAAAAGACCTTCCATTTCACGTTGATGTTCCATTTGTAAATCAGCCAATTCACTTTTTGCAGCATTTAGCATATTCCAAACTTTTTTTATCTTCTTCGACTTTCCATGTGCTTCTTCTGCTAAGGTATTATATTTTTCTTCTAGATCAATCCTATAAATATAACTGCTTAACAGAAAGAATTATCTTTTTTTTACCGTTTTTTTTTTCAAAGCTTGCAAAATCTTTTGCTTTTTTTACCCCTAATAACTAACAAAACAATTCTGTATAAAAGGATAAATTCTATTATTTTACCAAAAGGAAGATATAGGGAACTTAACGCATAATTCTCTGCACAACATGTTAAAATTAATATTCAAACATTGACAAACTTATAGAGTAAAGAAAATTTTAGGAAAAAAAAAATTTCAAACTCTCTGCTACATTTTCATCAATCCTTTTAATCAACTGTTCTAACAAATCGGACCTCTCTTGATTTTTTTCGGCCAATGCTTGCTTCAGCTGCGTCTCGTTTACACGTCCACGTTCTAATTCAGCATTACTTTGTTCTAGCAATCGGGCTTGTTTCTCAGCCTTTTCAAGCATATTTTCACCACCAACAATAAGCTTTTTCTCAATTTGCTTTAGTTTATTCATCAATGAATCATGATCTCTATGCGCTTGAGCCAATTCTTCCTAAATTAACACAAAATTTTAGAAAAATATCCGAAACAGAGATGTGATCGAAAGCAACTCTATAAACGACTGCCTATAAACATACCTCTTTGGCATGCAGTTCTGCTATCAATGTTTCGCGCTCCTCGTCAGCTATTCCTTTTTCCTTTTGCAATTCATTTTTCCTAATTTCAATCGTCTTTTCCAGTTCTTCAATACGATCACTATAACGATTTCGCGATTGTTTCTGACCTTTATTCCAACTCGATTCATCCACCTCATCTTCATTTCCACTTGACTCTTCTACAAGCGAAACAATAAATGATTAATTCATATCAAAAAATTTTTGTACCATAAGGTTTCATAATTTATAACAAGAACTTGTAAAACGAATATAAAAGAAAGTGCGTTCAGTACATTCATCCAAAAATGTCTATCGAACCTTTTTCAAGCATACGCTTAAGATGCTCAATTTCCAGTTGAAATTTCCTTAATAGTGCATCTTTTGGATCCTCATTAATTCGAACCACATTTTGAATATTTTTAGCACGATTTGCATATCTTAATGTGGAAACCGTTTCATCGTAATTATAGGAAGCAGGACCAATATTTGCAAACTGAAATAAGAAAAACATTACTCCACTGTACGACTTCTAAATTTTTAAACTTTTAAAATACGTTTCTACAAAAAACACTGTTCTTCGCACATAGTCATTAAAATCAGACTATGTAATAATTTACTTACCATGACAGTCTTTGAATTACCACCTAACGAATCCTGAAGTAATCGCGTAAGTTTGGAATTTCTATAAGGAATGTGAACAGTCTTCGAGTCGACCAAAGCACTAATAACATTACCAAGTGAAGAAAGGGACAAATTGATACGAGCCGCTTCTTTTAATCGATTTCCACTGGCACCACTCTTCGATTGTCTCTCACTACCCTAAATTACAATCATTGCGATCGTCGCATGATATCGGCCAAAAAGTTGAAACAATTACCGTTGAAAATAAAAACAAAATGTTGAAAATAAGTCGTATTTATAATTCAAACGTAACTTAATGAATTTTCTAATGAAAATCTACAATAAGCTGAAATATTACAAAAATGTTTTCTCAAAAGTACAATACATAATATTGTTTATTTTACTGATATCACCAGATATAATGCACTGAATTGCAAAATTATACAAATAACTTAAACTTACGGCCAAATCGACAAGCTGTAGCTTTCCTTGTGTGATATGACAACGATCACCAATCTTTTCACTGCATTCAATCGTTATTGTAAACAGAGCATGGGAACGTGAACTGTCTACATTCATCTTTGTTGCACCTGTTGATCTAAAATATAACGGAAAAGTCAATAAAAACGCTTTCTAATCAACTGAACTTACTTTAACATTTATATTAGCTTCATCAAGTCTATTCAGTTCACATCTATTGCACAGAATAATTGTCTATTTCAAAATTTCTAAATTACTTTGTTGTTTCGAAAAAATAGTAACATACCTGTAATTATTACCGAATTGCATGATACGCTCCATATGATCTGCACCGGAGACAGTGACGCTTGATAGATCTTTCACATAAACACCAATGTCTGGTCGTTCCTAAATAACATCTAAATTCAAAGTAATAAATTTCGATTATAATTAAATAAAAAATAAGTAAAAAGGAGGAGTAAATTAAAAGTCATTCACTTAATTTATTTACTACCCAGAATAAAGTGATTAACAAAAAAAAAAAAAAAAAAACACTAACCTTAATTTCAAGACCATGCACCGGATTTTTAGCTAACAAATCTCGGATCTCTTCATTGTAAATCTCTAAATAAGAAACTCGAACAAGGAATGTTTTATCTTGTTGACATTTTGCTATATGATCAAAAATATGTGCAAATGAATTGGGAATTATTCCAGGACAATTTTTATTTCCCAACATTGTGAAAGTCTTTCCAGTGCCAGTTTGTCCATAAGCAAGAATAGTACCTAAATAAAATTAGAATGAGAAAACAAGAAGCAATAAAAAAAAGGACTAAAATTACTCCTAGAAATAAAAAAAAAAAAATGTTTATTCTGTTTCTACTTATTAATTCATAATCTCATCGAAAACACTATAAGTACATCGCAAATTTTATCTTCACTCACAATTACCATTCAACATTGAATAAAATTATTACATATCTTTTAATGAATTAATATTAACGTTGCAACCTTTATCGTCCTCTTAAAAATATAACGGTCTAGTATTTCTGAGGATTAAATTCAAAATCGTACTAACCGTTATATCCCTTCAACACGTTGTTAACAATGTGCCTTGCAGCAATGTTATAAACATTAAACTGATTGCTATCTTCTCCAAACACAGCATCGAATGTAAAAATACGAGATGGTTCCTAAGAAATATTTAATTTCTTCATATACAAAAAAGAAAAAAAGAAAAACTTTTTTTCCTTGAATTACTGATATCAAAAACAAAAACTAGAATGAATGTCTAGAGAGGTGCTTTAATTGCTATCAACAAAAAAAATTATTATTCAAGGCTAATTTATGATATTTCCAATTTCTCGCTTTAATATACTATAAAAAATTGTCGAAATGTTTCAAATAAATTTATTACTTGTTGTAAAATGATTTCTATTTGATTTTCAATATTTAAAATTAAACTTAACAATTTCATATTCACAACCAAAGTGGCTAATCAATTTAATAGGTTGTGAATAGAGACTACATCTGATTTAAATTGAAGCTACCTGGTCATTGTTTGGATTGGTGACGACAATAGAGTTGCTGGCACTCTCCACGGTTACAATTTTTTGATAGCCTTGTTCAAGTTCTATACGGCTCAGAGGTCTACAACGAACTACCACGCGAACATTATCTACTTCTGTCACCTCCATCAATCGTCACCGTGAGCACTCTACAAACACACAATGAGGAAAACCATAACTTAAAGGCAAACAATTTATGGTGCAATTTGAACGTGAGGCTACACGTCTACTCTTTACGCATATCACTTATTATAGATGAAATTATGCAGACATATTTTTATGTATATTAGCAGATAAAAAAAAAAAGTACTGATTAAGACTCACAAATATATAGACTTCTTATCATTTGGATGTTCTATAATCCGTCTTTGTTAGACTTAATTTTTTTTTTCTTTTTGTTTTAAATATGCGCAAGTGTTGAATATAATCGTCATTTGTCATATTTTATCACTGTTTCGATTTTTTTTTTTACCAATAATTTTTGCAAGAATTTCACACTACAAATAAACCTGTTGGTGTGTTTTTGTAATGTGATAATTTCAGATTCATAATAACCGAGACATCCTCAAGATTGACATTTTTCTATTTTTATAATAGATGCTTAGTTTATGATTTTATTAACTATGTTAATCTCTTGCAATGATAATTTTAACACTTGAACTAAAACTAAATAAACCAAGCAATTAATAGGCGTATAAAACGCCAAGAAAAGAACGAATTCTTTTTGGAATTTAGACTTTCAATATGCTTTATCGAAAGTTAACAATACAAAGATAAATACTAATGGAATTAGAATGGACATACGTGCCCGTGAAAATAGACCAAATTGACAAAAAACAACATGACAGCTGCAAGCTTATACAAATATAAACTTAAGTAATAAAAAATATGTACAAAATAAATCAACACTACCAAATGAAATGAAAACAGATTGTAATGGTGGGAAAAAAAAGATTAAGTCAAATTTATAGAACGAGAAAAACTTTTTTACTGGGCAAAAAAAAAAAAAAAAACCAATTACAGTAAATATTCTGCACACGTGAACTTCACAGCATTTATAGAGTATATAAAACGATTGTTAAAACTTTCTCATTCTACCTTTTTGATACCAATAAAGATAAAGATAAGTTTTTGCCGAGTGAGTAAGAAATATAAAATAAAATGATATTATTCCTTATTTCTAATCACTGTTTTATTATTTTTTTTATTTTTTTTAATTCACTGAAATCACAGGTAAGCATGCACAAACACCAATGTTTGTAATATGTATTGAAAAGAAATGTAACGCAAATCAAATCAAACAGCTCTCACAGGCATAAGCAAAGCGATGTTATTGAGCGGAATAAAAAAGACAAAATTACTAGTCAGAGATCGAGAAATAAATTATAAATATAATTACAGTATATGTAGGAATGAATAAAGTAGAATACTATATCTCTTTGAATAAAAACTAAATTCTATAGTTTACTGAAAACTTATAGTTTTCCGAAAACTCCTTAGAAATCTATTACTAATCAAATGAAAGCGATAGTGCGAGCTATCTTGAAACGGCGAAGCATTATAGCACTGTTTTTACCGCTTGCTGCAACGGCAGCAAGCAGTAAAATTTTCCTTTTTTTCTTTTTTTTTCTTGAGAATCTCGAATATGTGAGAAGAAATGTGTTCAAAAAAAAGTGCTGTAAAATTGCATCATTCGAATTGATCTGCTAACGGGTTACCGCCGCTGATTCCGTATTAAAATTGACAGCATTGCTTACGAAATCAAGTAATCGGCGCGCATACTGCAAAAAAAAAAACTATAATGAGGCTTTATATAGGAACAATTCCAAACAACAGTTTTAAAGCAAAATAACACCAACTGAATTCTAAGAATTAAGATAAATGAAGCAAAACAACTCCACAGTAAAAATGTATACAACCAGATAACATAGTGGTATTACGAAGATAATTAATTAAGAAAATATCTGATAAATTGTTTTACGGAATCGGTAACGAATTAAAGCCCAGAAAACTATAAACACTTATAAAATCTGATGGACCGTAAAATTTGCTACCTGGTCAGGTTTCACCGTTGATATATTATCCGCATCTAAACCGTACTTAACAGCTTTAGCAGCTGACGCGGTTTTCTTTTTAACTCCGTAATAAGTGAGGATGTCCACAAGGCCAATGAAATATATTAACCGCTTATCGCTTTCTGAAAATTTATCTGTTGCAGTTAAGATCTATAAGAGAAATTAAAAGTTGATAAGTTGCATTAAAATATCATCAATTCCTGCCTTTCGATTACTTTTTTATGCCATATCCGCTTTTTCCAGGCTCAACAGTGGGAAAAACAAATAGTCTCAATGTCCAAACAGTGTAGAGTAAAACTCACCTGGACTACTTGGGATTGCATAAAACTCATCATCAAGATCTGGTCCACCGGATGGGATTGGCGCAAATGCACCTGTTAATGGCAACGGTGAATCCGGTGGCGTTGGAACAAGTTCATCACCTGAAATTTCACCTTCAGAAGGTTCGGCTGGTTGTTGGCCTGCTGCCTCTTGCTCACCCTTGTCCATATCATGGATACCTGAAACAGAAAAAGAAAATAAAAATTATAAACTACCTATAAAAATTACAATAACTCTTTACATTTTCGTGTTTTTCTTTAATTTCAAGTTAGAAACTAACCAACAAGAAGCGAATAATCCATTAAGTGCATTCTTGCTAAGAATTCGGCATCATCACGTAACATTGAAAGTAATTTTTCACGCGCATCGGCCGGCAGTATTAATTTGTACTTATCTTCCAAGAAATCATTATCCTTAATTAAAAAATCACATACATCTTTGCTTGGACCAAATTATATGTTTTTAAGAAATTCCGTAAAGAAAAAATGACAGTAACTAACTTTAAGTGTTGGAAGTTCCTTCGTTTTTTCCTTATCAGTTGCTTGCCGCTGTACAGTTGAACCCTATAAACTTTTATTGCCTTAAAATATATCTACACGTGCACTGCATCTTCAGGTATTTAGGAATTCATTTTTCAGTTTTCTGAAATAAATTTAAGACGCTGTCGACAAATTCACGACCAACTGGAAATTTCGGAGAGTACCTGACAATATTTGACAACACCTGATACTACCAAATTTCTCAAATGAAAATTTAATGAAAGTCCGAAACTCAATTTATTTCAGGAATTTGTAAAACATCCTTAATAAAAAAACAGACAAATTCAGTTACATTTCAAAACCCCCAATAGAATATGTTTTATACAACAATATAAGAAGCACACAATCAGGTCGTTCATTTATCAGTGGTTAAATGCACACTGAATCAATCCGTCTAGAGAGAGAATCTAGACACCACCTAATTTTTTCAAATCAATTCATTGGATTGATTCGAATATATATGTAAATATACTGATACTGATTCAAAACATACCTTCAAATCATATTTACGATGGACGGCATATTTTCGACCAAGGATATTGCGCATTACAATCAAATATGTTTCACTACCATCAACAGTGAGACGATATAGACCCAAAAACTGTGGAAGTAAGGTTTTGCCATGTTTTTCTACTACATACTGAAATGACAAGTATAAAATTTCAGACAACATCCGAAAAATACAAAGCACACTTGATAAGGATTGAAACTATTCAAACTAAACATCCTTCGGTCAAATTTCACCAAATTTCATAAGAACGTTCTCTACGATCAATTATCTTCTAAGTCTTTCTTGATAGATTTTAAGCTTCAAAATTCTGATAATTATTGCGAAACCAAGTATAAAATTTTATTAATATAATGTACTTCGTGATATGATCTGAGAACTGAGTGCAATTCGGCAACTGCTTCCGAATCCATTGATTTTATCACAAATTTCTTATCGTGTGAAACAAACAAACGTGAGCCACTTTTGTCTACTTGATCCAGTTCTGGTTCCGGTTCACTATATGTTAGCGAACGCTGTAAAGATAAAACATCACTCAAAAGAAATCATAAATAATGGTGGAAATGATAAGTGATTAAACTTACTAAATATTCATTTTGATCAACACCAAAATGGTCTCGAAGATTTCGGAACACATTAGGACAATAATCTTTGATCTTGAAATGGCTTGGCATATTATCTCTAAAACAACAGAAACTTCGATACTTACGTTGCATTACTTATGCAATATAAAAATTTTTTGCTTTCAACTAATTTTGATCGTGTGGGTTTAATGAAGCTGTTCAGTGACACGATCATACTAAATTTTTTGTAGCTTTGTAACTATATTAATACTGTCTGATACGCAATGTGGTAACAAAAAAGATGTACAGCACAAACTGAGTGTACAATCCAGATGACTGAAGTTAGTTAGAGTTAGATTCAGATGGAAAATTCGCTTGTGAAATACACAAATTGATCTTACTTGTTAAAGAAATGATTGTCAATTTTAATTTTAATCGAGGCTTTAAAATCATCAGGCATCAGCAACCCTGGAGGTGGAACATGTAGTAATTCGCTGATCTGTAACATAACTGTCATAAAGCTTTGCTAATTATCTCTTATACTTCTCAAAGCAATGCTTCTGTGCTAACTGTTCAAACTTCATATGCCAGTTTTTCATGAAACATTTTATTTGTAATAAAATCATCAACAAATCAATCGTCATGCAAACAATCAGTGTTCATGGTTGTTTACACAGTGCTTGATTTATTACTTGTTTTTTAAGTAAGATTTGAAAAGCAAAACAAGCCCCAACAATTATGAAAATTGAATGTTTTCTGTTTTAGCCTGAAATAATTTAAAGCTAACATAAAAACGACACAATATTATTAATAAAAATGGGAACTATTTACCGAATGATTCACTCCCCACATGAATACCGAAAGAAGTGGTTCCTTGGCTCGAAATAATTTCCATTTTGGTACCAAAACTTTTCCTTTTCCCTTCTTTCCTTTACGTGGTGTTTTTTTCTTCGTAGACATCTCTACAAAGTACAATAAAAAATTCAAAGTTATTATGAAATAGTATGCGACGATGGACGTTCTTTATTGGTAATAAAATAGTCATTCGCCCGAATTTTCAAAAGATGGATTAGAACTAAGGGAAAAAACACTGCACTGAATACAGAAAACACGATACCGAGAATGGCATTTTCAAGCCTTAAGAATATCATGGTTCAAATTACTTATTCAAATCATTATCTGAGGCAAATATTTCGACAAAATTAGCCCTCGAAGTACGGAGATTACGTGAAGTTCCGTTTATCTCCCAACTTTAAAACTCTAAAATTTAAAAGTAGCTTTTGGCAATTAAATGGGAAGCAAAACATCAGATTCAACTAAATTCACGCAAACAACTAAATTTCACTGCTCTTTTAGTGCCAGTGTATGATTGTATAACACGCAAACCTTTAATCCTTTCGAGAAACAGCCAATGAAAAATCAATCCCAACGTCAATTATATGAATCACAATAAGTAAACAAGGAGGGACATAATATTATTAATTTTCGACTAACTGACGATAAGCCAATATATGATAATAAAAACTTTAAACATTCTGTTGAAAGAAACTATCGGAACTTATCTCATTAGACTAATAAACGGCTAAATATAGCTAAAACCCCACTTTAAATTACTTAATTTTGTTTAATTACCAAGAAAATAACACAAGAGAGATGATAACAGTGTTGCGTATATTTTGATAATGTGATTTAAAGGATTGAAATTTGGAAAAAATCGATCGACACAATCTATTGAAAATATGGCTGAAATGTGGCTAAAAGTAAACAATAATTGCATTAAACTATAATACACCGCGTTAAGAGTAAAAGCCAGTGTTGTCAACTGGCTCCTATCAGTTCTAATCTAAAGACATGTCTGAAACTTATATTCTCTGAGCTTTGCAGGACTAACGGGATTTTCTAACTGGACAGACGAGATTGATCAATTAATGCTGCTTTAACCCTGTTTCCTCGTGATTTAACTACCACTCTACTTACCCATTTTCACCATTTGTACCTCTTGCTCCTCTCTCCGAATATCACTCAGGCTTCACTTGTCTAACAACATACAACCATCCTTACATTTAAATCATCCTTCATTCTTTTATTCTTCTCTCAAATGCATAAAATGTTACAATCTTTGTGAAGCATTGAAGAAACAAACTAATTAACGACGGACACTGCACAATAACAAAATATCTTTACTGGATAAACAGATACACACAAATAACTAACTCATCAGAAGGTATGCACATACTTATAAATAACTCATCTATAACAAACAGAAAATGATATGCTGATAGGATGCGCAAAAATGATATGATAATGATAGGAGGAGCAAAATGCCAAAAAAACACCATTGCCAACTTACTCTATCACAAAAAATAAACCCACAAACATTCAACAGCTTATCAGCAACTGATATCTCTTACTCAATACGGAATTAACACGGCCCGATGGATATACACTCGATGAAACATGGAAGACTCGAAAATGAAAAAATGATTAATCGATTTGCGGAATGGAAATGTCACATTGTCACCTCTCTAATCTCAACGATAGATAAACGAGAGTGTTGTTACATTTGCTTGAAATCAATAATCTCGAAAAACATTTTCACACTAACAACGACTGATCTATTTTATTGAATTAATGAACTCATGTTACCATAATATTTTCAACATCAAAGATTTCAACATTTCCTTCTTATACAAATTGCTCTGCTATATGTCTATATCATCTCTTTATCCACAAAAAAAAAAAAAAAAAAAAAGTATAAGCTTTGTTCATATGTCTTTTACATCTCAAACTCATAACAATTGCTCAGTTATTTATGGATGAACGATAATCTTTGTGTAAATTCTCGAAGATAATTCAACTTATAAACAACACACTACTTTCTGTCCACTTACAATGAGAAACTACAGATGCAGCTAATGATAATTACTATACAGTTAACATAGATTGCATTTCTAACATTTTGTTAACCTTTCATCTTTATCACTCCCTAAGTAATATTCGCTTTTTCTTTTTCTTTTAAAGATTGATCTGAAGTTTGTTTCGATAAATTGCAAAGCTTACAGAGTAGCATTCATTAACCAAAATTTGAAGCAATTGTGTTATTTAGCAATATTAACGTGAAATAATTTTTATAACAATGTCAAAAGACAGTCAAGAATAGAAATGCTTGTAGTATATTAGCAGATTTGTTACAAAAAGTGTCATTATTCTCGACATTTGCAACAAAATGCAAATATGCGCAAAGATGTAAATGTGTTAGAACAAAATTTATAATTTAATTCCCGTAAAATATTGAGCAAAATGTACAAAAGAAGAAATAAGCAATACAAAATACAAAGAGTGGACCAAGTATCATTGTTATACCTTTTCTAGACAAAAAATTCAATTCGTCAACAATTTCACCTAAATTTTTGTAACAACACAAAACTCTAAACTAATTATAACGAAAAAAGTACGACAATAATACAAAACATTGCTTTTTCGTTAAATAAATTGAGAAGCTTACAATAAATAAATAAAAAAAAAAATTGAATTCATCAACAATTTCACCTGTCATCTTTGTTATCCACCTTTCATCTTTGTTATTGACGCTTAAACTTAAACAAAACTTTAAACGCCTGAGAAGCTAGTAGCAAACTGAGGGGTAGCAGAAAACAGCACTGACGCAGAAAATCCTACATTTCATTGAATTTCTGAAAATCCCAATGATCACTTTCTCATGTTCTATTCAGCTCCATCAATTAATAGCAGTCAAAATTAGTTTGCAAATCTGAGCCAAATTTATGCGAACCGCGGTGCAATCTATTTGCTGATTCTCACCGGAAATCTTTTCCGTTTAGTCTATCGGCCAACCTCAAATATGGACGAATCAGGAAGTCACTGCAAGTAGTAACTTGACTGCTTCGCCCATAGTAATAATGTAATCTCTGCAATTACGCTTACTTCAACTGATACTAACTGATCAACTTATCATTGAATTGTTTACTTTATTTACATTAAGTGACGCAAATGTAATTACAATGGCAAATATAAATAAATTACATGGCAAGAAAATGAAAAAATTACAATTTCTATCCTTTAATACAATTATTATCAATCAAATTACCCGTAGATGATGAAGATGGGTAGCATCCCGGGTATTTCGAGAATGGATATTCAAGGATAAAAGCTACCATCATATGGATATCCTATTCAAACACCAACAAACAGTATTGTAAACCTTTTTAAAAACTAATACTTTGTCATTTTTGAAAGGCAGTGAGATTGAAAAGCATATATATTTTGCTCCATTGAAACTGTATATCACTTTTCAAGACACATTTCTACCTCTTTTTACTTCCTCTTACTTATCAAAAGAGAAAAGGTCAAATTTCATACTTCCCCGAGATGACACAGCTTTGTTATGAGCATATTATCAAATCCACACTTATCATTTGCACTTCTCAAAACAATATCTCAAAAATAATGCCTAAACAAATTCCGAAACTGAAAATTTAAATCCATATGTATAAACAAAATGAATTGCACTTGAAAAGAGAACGTATTGTATTTATTCAGGTACCACATTCTATCTGCACATTCCGACTGTTAACACTGATCGATAAGCATCGATCAGGACGCTCCTCCGGAGAAAGCCTATTTCTGCGACGATTTGGATGACCCACCAACGTAGATAACAAAGAATAGTACCAGCGACATCAATAACAACGCAATGAATACCAAAATGCAAATCTTTTTCTGAAATGTTACACGTGACCCAACTTTGGGTAGGCAAATAAATTTTTCCCATCGCAAATGTAATTAACCTGTTAAACGCATTATTTCTAAATAATAAACCGTACTTCCCACTGATAAGCAGAAAAGTAGCTTACGTGAACATCCGGAAAAGCTAACGCTAAACTTTCCATGTTATCATTTGTCACCTATTAATTGGCATGTCGCACCCTCTCTCATTATCGTCACATGTTATTAGTTAACAATAACAAAGTGATTCATTCTTCCGAAAAAATTTGTTATTGCACAAAATATGACAAATGTAGAAAGCAAATGAAATGAGTGACAAAAAAGTTGGATTACGAATTCTACAAAAGGTGTGAAATAATACGATTTCAGTATGTTTACCTCCGACCAATTGTAGGATTAAAAATTCGAAGCTTTCGCTTCATTTATTTATGGAAGTAACAAATAATCTCTGACCACCGCCAATCAATCAAAAACTGTTTGTTAATAAAGCCAAATTAATAAGCAATTTTTTTGATTGTGCTGAACAGAAGAATAAATCAAATCAGAAAAGTAATAATAGGCAGCAATTTTTAGTTAAGCATAAATTTCATTAACACCACTTCATAACCTTTCGCATTTTAAAAAAAAAAAATCTACAACAAAAGGTTGAAAAAAAGTTTTAGCCACCGAAAAGAATTTGCACTTTCTTTTCGAACAAACAACAATTCCACGGTCTAATGACAAACACTATAAGCCAATTTTTCTGCTTTGAAAAGAAAAGAAATGGATGAAACATACGATTTACCCATGAATGGAATTACAATCGATAATGAAAAATAAGATCACATGTCAAACAACCCCCAAAAACAAATAAACTCAAACTAATTTCTATGCTTTAAATGAAATTTTCCAATACATTTAATACTTTTGAAACTTCTCTGAAAGACACCTAATAGTATATGAAATGAAAAAATACACTATCAAATTGCATATACATGGCTACTTGTCGATTCAATATTTCTAAACAAATAAAGCAGTAGCCATTATTCAGAAGCAATGGAAGGAGAAATTTAAATTTGAAAAACAGTCTAATCAGAGTTTCTAGCAAACACAATAAATTTCAAAATCTGTAAACTTTGGATTTTTCTCTCACTTTCTTCAACTTCCAACCTTCCTTTTTCTTTTTCAAAATTTCATACTGCTCACTTAGATACCAAAAAGACTATTGCATTAAGACC